ACTTTCCCTGATGAAATACTCTACACACTCGCAACCCACTCGAAACAAAGGCAGCAGCAACAACACCGCAACGAAAACGATGACGGCAGTCTCGCAACAGCATACTATCTCACCGCCTCCCCACCCTTGGCCTCTCCGAAAGCTCTAAACGCCTACTTCGCCCTCCTCTGCCGTACCCACATCACAGAATCCTTCTACTTCGCCCGCAAACAACCCTCCCCATCCTCCCATCGCGACCTTCTCGAACAACTCATTGTCTTCGTCCTATCCACCACCAAACCGGGTGAAACCCGCGCCAAGCGCGCAATGGAGCTTATCAACCTCCCATTCAGCGCGGAGGAGGAACGGTGGTTCGAGGATTGTTTGTTGACGGGGAAGGCGAGGCATTTACCGGGGGCGAAGGATACGGTTATGATGCGCCGGGTGGCGACGGGGCGATTGCAGGATTTGAATGCAGGAGGCTTAGAGGCGCTGGGCGGGAGGAAGATTGAGGGATTGAATTGGGACGATTTGAAGAAGAATTTGAGAGCGAGTTCGTCGGCGCTTGGAGGTTCTGCGGGGGTCGGGTATTAATTGACACGGCATGTAATGACTGGTAGCTGTATTTTAGCCTAGCATTTTAGCGGCGCAAGGGATGGGTTTGGCGAATTGATGCTCTTTTTAATTTCATTTGAACAAGAAAGGCCCTTCAGTATTGATGCTTTTATTAGATGCCTGTTCCAAGTATATTGTCTTGGATTCGCTGGAATTGATGGTATTGCTGTTTTTTCTGTGAAACCTTGCAGTAACGTTAACTTTTAAAATGATTTTATAGATCAATCATTTTTACTATAATCAAGTCATTTGATTACCCAATGATCATAATATATTTGTCTAAAAGAGGAGTGTACATACATGCCATGAGAAAGCTTGAGGCCCCCTCTGTAAGCAGCAAACAAGCTACATCACTTATTAACTGCCGAGCGGTTATTTAAGTTGGTTAGCGCCATTTATAACTACTGTAACTACTGTACATAGTTTGAGCTGATATCTAACTTGCCATCTTCATTATTCTCGCCGATAGAGCTTGTGTCTACTATATTTTAGTGCTCCCTAAAGCAATTCTTTATATAATTGACACCTCTTATATGGGTACCATAATACAGCATTTATTCTCCCAGATAACGCGACATCTAGGCCAAAACCCTGGTGAATTCCAATTTTACTCGTGACTCGATATGTTGTGAAGCTTCCCCTCCCTCAAAAGTCACCAAAAGCTCTCATGTGTATTTATTTCTAGTGTCATACCGGAGGGAAATGCCAAATAAAGGAGAATAATTGCTATACCAGAGCATATTTAAACAATACAATAAAAAAGAAGATATGCCCGTCTGCGTCTTCTACCAGCAGGGCCGCTGCAAGTTCGGCGGTAAGTCTTTTACTCTCTATCTCAACGTTCTATCAATGGCTAACTACCTACATAACCTAGATCGATGCAAAAATGAGCATCCAGGCTCTCAGTCCGCATCCCCATTTGGAGGCGGGGGGAATCGGTTTGGCGCGCTGGCTGGGGGAGGCTTTGCTAGTGCTGCTGGTGGCAGCGGCGCGTTTGGAGGTATGTAACACTTTTTATTGCAATATTTTCCCCCGTTTTGCTTCTATGCGGATGCATGGTGATGCTTTTATTGGTTTGGGCGGTTGAGCTGCTGAGGTCTGGGACGTGGATGTATGCGAGTTTTGATGCCCGAACTTGGTATTACGCGCGGTGGTTGGGCAGGGAGAAAGAAGTATTGTCAACTGGCAATTGTCAATTGCTGGCAAATGACAAAGCTTCTCCTCCAAGATTGCTGAGACATGTGTTTGGCGCGCTGTTTGTTCTTTCTCTTGGATGTTGCTGGATTCATTACCGGATAGTTGTTTCCTCAAATATCTTTTCTTGAGTCCAGAGCATATATATATCCTTGGGATCACTGTTATCAACCAGCATCTACATCTAGAGCATGGAGGATCAGGGCATTAACATTTTTGTTTTTCTAGGTGGACCCAAAGACAGCATCGAGCACAACAAGTGAGTTGCGCCCAATGATATATATACCTACCACCCAATCCATATTCCATCTAGTGGCTACTAATGTTTTCCAAATATAGATATGGACTGAATCCGGATGACATCAAAGCTGATCTGACCCCCGGAAAGGGTAGACCGCAATGGATCTTTACATGCTACGGTCCAGGCAAAAATGCCCCCAGACAACTCTTCGGAGGTCCGCAGCGGGAACAGAGCTTCGAAGAGATGCGCGCGGTCCATTATGCCGCCGCAGCAGCTGGAAATGCCCAGCAGGCAGTCCAAGATGCAATGAAGCTCTACGCCGAAACAGAAGCCCAGATACAAACCATCCTCAACGATACAGAGGGAGCCGTCAGATATATCATAGAGGGCGAGAACACGCATCCAAACCGTATTGATATTATTGAAGGGAGAATAGGTCCCACCCCAACTCCTTTCAGCCAGCCTTCTGCCTTCGCACAACCAGAAGCAGCACCATCGACAGCGACCCCTTCACCATTCGGCCAGCAATCAGCATTCGGGAAGCCATCGTTCGGCCAACCTACTCCATTCGGTCAGCCATCAACGTTGGGGGCGGCTGCTCAACCCGCCGCTCCCTTTGGCCAGTCGCCGTTTGCCCAGGCTGCACAAACGCCAGTCAATCCTTTCGGCAAGCCAAGTGCAACCTCCTCTCCCTTTGTTCAGATCCAGCCGCAGAACCAACAACAACAGAACCCTTTCGGCCAGCAAGCAGCTCAGCAGCCATTCGGACAGCCGCAGCCACCGCAGCAAAATCCGTTCGGCCAGCCGCAACAGGAGCAGCAGCAGCAAACACCCAACCCCTTCGGCCAACCCCAGCCTCAAAATCCACCAGCACTCGGCCAACATTCTCTCTCCCCCTTCGCCTCCAAAACCCCCGCCCAACCCACAACCCAGCAAAGCCCCTTCTCTGCCGCACCACAATCCCCTACCAAAACCACCTCCATCCCCTCTACCGTCCTTTCCCAAAAAGCCAAACCACACCTTAACCCCCGACCCACCTTGCACGGCGAAACCCGCCGCGACCCAGTAACCAACCACTTACTCTCCTGGAAAGGTCAGGTGGTAAAATATGTCGACAACGAACCCTGCTACCAGCACCCGGACGACGCAGGGACGTTTGTGCGTATATTCTTCCCCGATGGCCCGCCGAGACCGGAGGCGTTGAGGGATACGCAGGCCAAGGCGGAGGAGTATACGCCCGAGATCGAGGCGGTTTATAGGGCAGTGAGGGAGCGTGGGGGATTTGGGGAAGCGGGAAACGGGATGGTGAAGGTGCCGGAAGTGCCTCCTAAGGGGGAGTGGTGTGGGTTTGACTTGTAAAGGGCGCCGATTGGAGGGAGGGGAGTTGGGGCTTTATAGATTTAATTTTAATTTTTCAGGGGACCATCCGCTATTTTCTCCTTTGATATGAATGTGCGTTATGGGGACAGGCCTGTTATTTTATTATTTTACTTTTTCTCGTCCTGTATTTGTATTGGTAGTTTTTCCCCGGGCATGTTGGATACCTTTACTTCGTCGTCCTCGCTGGCGCGACTATGATCTACACCTATACATGGATGTATGGACCCTGTAGAGTTATGATGCCAGTGCATACTTACTGCGGGCAATCGGTGTGGGTGGAAGAACTTATTTACCTCCCTCTCTTTTCAAGAAAATTGATATAGGACGCGTCAAGTTGCCTCTACAAGTTATGCAACTTTTAATTGCTGTTATGTGTAGATGCGCAATGTACTAAGTCATCCCATACATATCGCCGAAATAGCTAAAATTCCATGCAAGAAGTATGCAGCTTTTGAATTTAAAATTGAACATTTGTTCACTTCTCATTCCGGATTACCAGGGCTATGTAAATACATTTGGAGCAACAGAGCACACCTCAAGTCCGTCCGGAAGTGGTGCTGTGCTGCCTTTTTTATTTGACACCAGAACCCACATCTCTTCCGAGAGCAAGACAGCTGGTAACAAAACTTTTTTAACCCGGGGTATATTATCATATCCCCGATAATTCGTACTCATCGCCCGTCCAATCCACCACCCCTTTTACGGGATGGAAGTGGAGTCACGCGAGGGAGAGAAACCACATCTATGCGGCAATGGTAACCTCAACCTCAACACCAGCCTCGATGTTAATGATGATCTGCTTGACGGTCTCGGTGGGGGCGTGCAGGCTGTTTCCAAGGATCGTATTCGTTAGCACCTTCCAATTCCTTCCGAGTTCCGCAATTTAAATAAAATAATCCCGTAAAAATAACGCTCGACCCAAACCATATACCATCCCAACCCCCGAAACCGGAAAAGTAGACAGAAAAAAAGAACAAATACTCACTCAATCAAACGCTTATGGATGCGCATCTCGAACATATCCCAGGTCTTGCTACCCTCACCGTTGGGGGTCTTGCGGGTGGAGATCTTCAGGGTCTTCGTGGGGAGTCTGACGGGGCCCTTGACGTTAAGCGACTTGCTGCGCGCGCGATCGATGAGCTCCTGGCACACTTTCTCGAGCGAGGCGACCTTGCGCGAGGTGAGGGTGATGCGGATCTTGTGGATTTTCTGTTTTTTTTTTTTTTTTTTTTTTCGTTTTCATGGTTAGTTACTTTTGTGCGCAATTTGTGTGCAGGAGCTTGATTAAAGGCAGTTTGAGGTATGTGTAGAATATGGAAATGGAATATAGAAACACGTACGGGGCCTTCGCCGAAATCCTTCTCGGGCTTCTGGTACGACATGGTGATGGATTCTGGTTGGTGTTGACTTGTTAGCTGGGTGCGTCGATATGGAGTATATGGATGCTGGTGGGATGGTCGGGGGGCAATTGACGTACAGTGATTTACCGGCGAATATGCCAATCAAGACCTGAACAGTAGGAGTTCGGTAAGGTGATGAAAGGCTGATTAGGCTTGAGGAAGATGCGTTTGGCGTTGAAAAAAGACCAAAAAAGATGTTGAAGTCGCGATGAAATTTTGATAAGCGGAGATTGTGGGCGGAAGTCTTGGCATTCGCTTAGATAAGGTTACGGGTGATGACTAACCAAGTCTGGAGGCTCCCATCCAACTCCCATTTTGATAATCGCGACAAACAATCATTGCCGTACATCTACAATATTATAATACTGGATATTTTGTTTTATCCCCCCCCTTGAGGAATTCCTGTTTCCCCGCTTCTCTGTGTGCGCCTGGCAGAAAGGACCACATTGCTGCCAAAGGAAGGAGGAAGAAGAAAATACATACTTACATTCCGCATGGCGCACGGTTCTCTTCCGCCGCTGGCCCCCTTCCCCCCCGCCACAGTCCGAAACATCCTCCAGAATGAGGAATGGACCGCCTGTTTAGATGCCTGGATAGCTCTTCTTGAGCTGCGCTTGAAGATACCCAAGGACGAATTTCAATCATTAATTCCCAAAGATGATTCATCGCGCATCTTCCTGGCATCCTTCTTCCAGGAGGCGGCAGCTGGAGATGGCCTAGGTGCCGATGCAAAATTGAAAACACTAAGACGGCTATGTTTTCTTCTTACAAGGAGACAGCTGTTAGAGGTTCATCCGCCGCCTGCTGAGCTTCTAGATTGGGAATTTCTTGCATCCTTTTGCCGCGTGTATGTTTCTAGTCCTGCCATGAGGACGCTTTTGGCTCAGTTATGGGATCAAGAATCGCAAGCTCTTACCACCAGAATTGAAAAGGGCAAAGCGCTGGTTATGAATGATCTATCAACTTCTAAGGCCGCAGACGGCATAGCGAGGGCAGACACACATCTGCGATCGCTTACCTTCCTGGCATTGGCGGTTCCCACCGCCGGTCTTGTTCTGATGACCGGCTCTGATTATATTGATACGCTCTTTGATGCATATTGCAATAATCGTAACATGAACGCAACTTTCAATAAGACTATTGTGGCCAATGCCTACGTGGGCTTTGCGTCGCTGCTGAAGTTGGAGCCCCCTGCGACGTCTCTACTCCTGGATCAGCTATTCAGTCTGAAATCCTCTGCTAAAGTGGACGTGAAGGGAACCAAGAGGAACCCAACACTGTTATCTGATATAATATGCAGTACCAATTTATTAGGGAAAATGGAGGTACTTTTTGCGGGCGCGAGCCAGAAACGAGGGCAGAATCTCGTCTCTTCGCTGCGCGCATATCAATCTGAGTGTAGTGCCTTTCACAGCCGGTACCAGCGCGTTAAAAGGAGAAAATATAAAGGAAAAGGTCGTGCGGATGATGCAGTCGAAATCGACGCGCATGCCCAGGATATCCGCATCCATAAAATGGCCCTAGTAACTCAAGTCCATGACCTATTCCCGCACCTAGGCACCGGGTATATTGCCAAACTTCTCGACCATTACGGCGACAACGTCGAAACCGTCGTCTCACATCTCCTCGAAGATTCTCTAGCTCCCCAGCTCCAAGACCTCAACGTCTCAGAAGAACTTCAGCAACCACACGGAACTTCATCTTCGCCTCACAGCCACCTAGCACCAAAACCCACACCACCACTCCCACCCTCCATCCCCCCATCCCAACCACAATCACAACCACAACCTCAAGCACATTCCACCATCCCCCAGCGCAAAAACATCTTCGACAACGCCGATCTAACCCGCCACACGACCCCCGCCGGATCCCTCCGCTACGGCCGCGCAAACCCCCACCAAACTGCCGACGACCTCCTTTCCCAGAAACCCACCAGGGCAAACAAAGCCGCCATCCTCTCCGCTCTCGCCGCCTTTGACTCCGACGACGACGAGCGCGACGACACATACGACATGGCCGACGTGGGCGGCACCGTCGATGCCGTCGTGCCCGGTGCAGACGTCGATGCCGACGCCATCGCCAACGCCGACAGACGGCCCGCAACTGCATTTGCGTACGCTGACATCGACCAAGCCCTCTACACCCACTACACGACCACACCATCCCTCTTCGCGCGCGACGCCGGCACGCGCCGCTCAGCGCCGCGCGCGCAGTTGCGCGAGGAGACGGGGATGACCGACGAGGCGATCGAGGGGTGGGCGGTGATGCTGGCGCGCGACCCGAAGCGGCTGGCGCGGATGGAGCGGAGTTTTACGCTTGGTGCTGGGGGCGGGGGTCTGAATCGACAGCCGGAGTTGGCGGCGACGGCGTATCGGAGGCGGGAGGGCGGGGAGTCTGGGACGGGGACGGAGGGGGAGGAGACGGATGGTGGGGGACGTGGCGGCGGCGGCGGCGGTGGTGGTGGTGGTGGGAGGGGACGGGGAGGGAGAGGGCATGGTAGAGGTGGTGGTGGGGGTAGGGGTGGTAGAGGGGGCGGGGCCAATGTAGCTGGCCCTTCTGGTGAGCGGGATACTGCGATGGCGAGACGGCGGAAGGATGCGAGTAAGGGGAGTCGGGCGAATCATAATCGGCGGGATCAGAGGGCGAAGAAGATGGCGAGGGGGGGATTGTAATGGCAATATGTTGGTGGGGTTGGCGCTCCCTTTTGTTTATACTTCGTAACATATATTAAGGGCACATGTGGTCATTGTAAATATAAATAAGACTGTTTTGTACTATCATCTTGTCATGTCTATGAAATATAGATGGGTGTGGATGGGATACATATATGCATCAACATATATATGTCTCTATCTAACCGATCTTCTAGTGTATGTACGTGCCCGGGTATGTAACAGATTGTTGTGCAGTGCACGACGCTTCGCGACTGTATAGCTCAAGAAGCGCCAAATAAATTCCCAAAAGAACAAATTAAAATCAACAAGTGGCACACATACAAAACAGCCAGCGATAAACACAGCAGAGTCGAAAAAAAAAGAGAGAGAGAGAGAGAAACCCGCGAACCGACGAGCAGAGATTCCAACATTAAGGAAACGACACAACAAAACCAGACGCCTCCAAAAACACAGCCTGATCATATCAACAAAAAAAGCTAAGCAACACTGTCTAGACATTAATGAGCATGGGCATGCAACCCCTGTTCGGCAGCGATACTCTTCTGGCACTCCGCCAACAACCTCGCCTGCGCCGCCACCTCCCCCAACCGCCCAATAACCTCCTTATTCCCATCCAAGAACGTGAAAATCGCATAGGGCACCTCCACCTCCCTACAGAACTGCATAACAAGCTTCTGCGCCTTGCGCAGATTATGCCTCGGCATGCGAGGAAATAGGTGGTGGATGACCTGAAACTGGAGGCCGCCGTGGAAAAAGTCGAGCCACTGCGGACAGTCGACGTCCATGGTTGTGCGCAGCATGCGTTGTGGAAAGGATTCGTTCACGCCCAGGTCCGCGGTGGACATGGAAAAGTGCGAGAGGGTGATTTGCACGTGTAGAGGCATGGTGACGGCGTGGCTGATTAAGATGAAGAGGAGCCGGTTGGGCCAGTCAGGGATGCTCCGGTAGAGCACACCGTAGCCGAACCAGGTCCAGAAGACCACCTGGCCGAGGATTTCGAACCACCGGTGCCACCATGCAGGGCCCTTGCGGGGTGCTTGGCCGCCTAGAAGGTATTCCCAGCTGAGGCGGTAGAGGTTGAAGCGGCCGAAGACGAGGATGGGATAGTAGAGGTAGTTTTGGTAGCGGATGAGGAATTTGGAGAAGAGGTCGTAGGTCATTATGCGGTCGTAGTAAGTGGAGCGGAGGCTGTCGAAGAAGCGGTGGGAGATGGCGAAGAAGGGCATGTGCTCGATATCTGGGTCGTGTTCGGGGGAGTTGGTGATGATGTGGTGGACGTTGTGGTTGCGCTTCCACCATCCGATGCTGAGGCCGCCGATGTAGTCTGCGATGAGGATGCCGATGACGGTGTCCACATGGAAATTATGGGTTATGCCCAAGTGGCCGGCGTCATGGACAGTGAAAACCAGCTGGTGCCATAGGGCTCCAAGGAATACGGCAGAGGTGGCGTACCAGCCCCGCCAGAGGAAATAAAAGAACAGGCCTCCAAGAAGGGTGTAGCGGACTGATTCTATTAGATAGGCAAAGTAGTCGCAGTCATAGAGGCCTTCTGCTTTGACTTGGTCGTGTAGCGCGCGGTATTTCCGGATGATGAAATCCTGAGTGTTGGCATCCAGGGGCGGGTATTTCGCCAGATCCATGAGTATTTCCTCCCGGGTGCGGGCATCTAGAAAACCCGGCCGCGAATTTGGTTTCGAGTCAGTCGCGGAGTCGTGGGAATTGGAGGATACAGAAGAGACTGAGGACGCTGGGCCTCTACGTCTGGTAGTGCCCTCGACCGGTTCAAATATTGGAGAGGGGGGATCTGAGAGGTCCTGCTCTGAGGAATCCCCCTCACAAACTTCATCGGAGGACACATGGAGATCGCCCTCGTTATACGGGCGGAATTTCCCACCCTGGATAGGGGGCAGGAAATTCATCCAGCGGCCTTCGATGCGGCCGATCTGGTACGCATTCATCCGCTGGCGAGCTTCGGCGGAATGCAGACTAGATCAGTGTCAGTTTCGACTTTCATGTAATATTGATAAAGCAAGGGGAAATGGTATATATATATATATACATACGCCGTGACTTCATCTGTAGCATCTCTGCCAACCATATGCATGATGGATTTATTCCCACCGGGATGGTAGGGGATCCAAGCGTCCACTTTGAGAACCTTCCCGTCTAGAATTATAATGTGCCTGCCATCTGCAATGAGACCCTCAATCTCTCGCCGGGAGAGGATTCTGTCATTTCTGCTGCGAGTTGCAGGATTTGAATTGGGTGGCGGTGTAGGGGAACCCATAGCTGTCTGTTTGTTTGTACCTTGTGGGGTAGACCGGCAGTTGGACGGGATGGCGGGATGGCGGTTAGGAGCTCTCAAAGAATGGATGCCGGGTTTCACTGGGCAAATAGCGAAGGGCAAGGAGAGGGACAGTAACCGAGGACACCATTGAAGAGCAGGGGGCCAGCGCCGGCGAAACGAATGCGAGGTGCAGCGGAGTTGAGGTGGATGTTGATATGTTGATGATATGTTGATATGTTGATATGTTGATATGTTGATATTTGGAGGTTGAACGAGGTTGCCTGATCATGTGATAAATATCTGGCTGTCTGTCTATCAAAACAACCAACCAGCCCCCTTTTTTTGTTTCTTTTTTCTAATCTATAGACATTTCATTCTTCTCTTTTCAAATCTTCTCCAGGTAGCTTCACTCAATGTATGATCTAACGAGTGGAAGGAGTGGATACAAGGCAGCCTTCCAGTAACAACATATACAACATGAGTTTGTATAGAGAGTATAGGGGATGAAGCTAGTGTTGCCCGTGGAAAGCTTCATATGAGATAAAATAACTTATATCCTTTCTAGCTGCATCGATTAGCTACAACCTGATTGTAAGAAATTGCTTGCCGTATTGGGGGGGTTATCAATACTATACATTACGATTATCATTATATTGTATATGCGCTTAGCAGTTCAGTCTTCTCAATCTCACAAATGTTTGTGTGAAGAGAGTCAGTCCAGTCCTACTTTTTAAGCAAATGACGTTGGGTCGAAAGCTGCAACCAAGCCCTAAGTTATTATTATTATATAAGTTAACTAACTAATAATAACTTGTTCCATGTAGGCTACTGGTACTGGGGCAAAAGAGCTTCAGTCACCACCAGCGCACTGCTCTGCTGGTAGAAGGGCCGATCAACTCCCGGGACCCCCAACATCCAACATCACGTACGTCACATCACTCAATAACTACACATTACACATCAACGAACAACCGTTTCCCGGGATTTTGAACTTGCTTTCCCTCCAACCGATTGCATTTTTTGAAGTGAGACTATATCACTTAGATAGGGCTAGGTATGCTTCACTCTAATCCTTTCAATGCAACAATTGGGCTGCTTGGTCCGAAAAAGGGGGGTAATTAACTTCATTAATAGCGGTAGACAATATATCAGACCAAGCTACAAGAACACCATTGTAAATTTTGATACATTTATTGAATAGCCCTTTCTACAGGGTGCTGAAATCTAGGACATAGCTGTCCAATCTCTCTAGATGGCCGATTCCTCCACAGTAAGTCGTGGCGAAACATGAATAACCAGCTCCAATTCAACCCCACTTGCTAACGCATGCTCAAAACTAGATACCTCTCTCAGATCTAGTCCAGCAATGGCTGGATTGGGACCATGTACGTTTTAGTTCCAGGGGGGGAGAATATGAAATTAATTGTCTACCTGTAAATCTGCGGGTAGCAAATTACTGTCCTTTGCATGGCCCAACCTCCTCCCAAAGCAGATCACCCATTTAAAGACCAAGACTCTCTTCCTGGATATATTAACTTATAGCCCCATCCCGGCCTTGTGGACTGATGGGCATTATTGGCTATAGGACCCTAAAACCCGCGCTGAAATCCTCAGACTGCGTGACGAGAAGAATGTAGCTGAGTTGGAGAAACGGTTGCGGAAACGTGCGTCCACAAAAATTATTTAGTGTAGCATTCCAAATCCCTCAATTCATAATCCGCACCGCTCCCCGAACCATCATCCAATTTTCATTTACTTACATACATACGCAGGCATCGAGTTCGGCACTGCCGGCCTCCGCGGCCGCATGCAAGCTGGTTTCTCCTCTATGAATGGCTTAACAGTCATCCAGGCCTCACAGGGGCTGGCCAAATATATCAAAATGTCGCATCAGCAGTCATCCTCACAGGAATCTGAGCAGCCGCCGTCCGTCATCATCGGCCGCGATGCACGGTATAACTCGAAGCAATTTGCTATGCTGGCTGCCAATGCATTTGCTGCTGAGGGGATCCGGGTGTTGTGGTATCAGAATGCGGGGCCGACGCCACTTGTGCCCTTTGGCGTGTTGAAGAATCCGGGGGCGTGGGGAGTCATGGTTACGGCTAGTCATGTGAGTTTTCTCGTGTGGACATGTGTAGATGGATGGGGATGATGCGGTGGTAACGGATTTTTTTTGGTATTTTTGTGGCTGACGGGATGTGTGATGTTTGATAGAATCCTGCGAGAGATAATGGTTTGTTTATGTCCGCACTGGTGGTTGTTGGGGGTAGACACTTTGCTAATATTCATATTTGGGGTGTTTAGGATATAAAGTGTTAGGGCCTCCATATACTTCTTTAAAAGTCTATTACAATTGCTAACTGGGTTTATAGATACGCGTCGAACGGCTGTCAGATAAATTCACCCATGGACGCGGAGATCTCAGAGATAATCGGGGAAAACCTAGAACCATGGCCAAACGCCTGGGACACAACGGACGAAAGCAAGTATCTCGCCTTAGATTGCTACGAGGATACTGCGAAAATATACTGCGACGCCGTCACCCAGTTCGTAGTAAGTGATATCCCCACTCTTAATGTCTCACATTGCGCATTCCACATTCCGCCCGTCGTCGTCCCTCCACCGTTAACAAAAGCCGCCATAGAACTCCATCAAGCTGGCCCCAGGCAGCCCTCCAAGACCTTTCGTATACACCCCCTTGCACGGTGTCGGGAATTCCATCATGTCCCGGCTCTGCGAGCAGCTGGGTATCAAAGATCTAATTACCGTCGTCGCGGAACAGCAAGAGCCGGACCCAGATTTCCCAACCGTCACCTTCCCGAATCCAGAGGAAAGCGGTGCGTTAGATCTGGCTATGAAAACTGCCGATGCCGTGGGCCGTGATCTAATCATCGCTAATGATCCGGATGCGGATAGGCTCGCCGTGGTGGAGAAAGTAAAGTATGTGTCGCGGCCCCCCCCTTTCTCCCCCGAACTCATTTATCATTATTGTTTTTCATTTCCATGATATGCGACTTCTACTTCTCCCCCATTCCACGCATCTAATATAACAACCCTTCCTCACCAGCGGCACCTGGAAAAAATTCACTGGCGACCAACTCGGCATCCTCCTCGCTTCCTACATGCTCGACACCATAACCTCTCAACAGCAACAAGGACAACACACACGAAAGAAGATCGCAATGCTCACCACCGCCGTATCAACAAGCATGCTCTCCAAATTCGCCCGTGCCGAATCCTTCCATGCCCAGGAAACCCTCACCGGCTTCAAATGGCTCGGCAACGTCGCTCGACGCCTCGAATCCTCGACACCAACACCCCCACCCCCACCCGTCCCTGTCCCCGTAGCCGTAGCCGTAGCCGTACCCAGTGCCAACAGCGACAGCGAGACCGGCTACACCGTCCCCTTCGCCTTCGAAGAAGCGCTCGGCTACATGTTCCCCGCCATCAGCTACGACAAGGACGGGTTGACGGCCGCGCTGGTGTTCGCCGCCGCCGCCGAGCCGCACTGGCGCATCAACGAGGGCGTGACGCCGTACGAGAAGCTGACGCAGCTGTATGCGCGGTATGGGTATTTTGAGAATTTGAATACGTATTTCGTCTCGCCGGATGTGGGGGTTACGAGGAAGTTGTTTGAGGGGGTTAGGGAGAGGGTTGCGGGGACGGGGTTGGGGTTGGAGTCGGGGAAGGAGATGGAGATGGGGATGGGGATGGTTGGGTCGTTGCCGATTTTGCGCTGGCGGGATGTTACGCTTGGGTTTGATTCTGGGCCCACTGGCAAGGGCGAGGGCGAGGGCGAGGGCGAGGGCGAGGGCGAGCAGTTACCCGCTGATCCGAATAGTCAGATGGTAACGGTGTGGTCTGAGCGGGGGATTCGGTTTACGTTACGCGGGTCCGGGACCGAGCCGAAGATTAAGAGTAAGTACACCGTTTTGTTTCCTTTTGTTCCGTTTTCTTTTCCGTTTTCTTTTTGCCGCTCCGTTCCATGCCCCCTGCACTGTACTGCATTCCAAAGGGGCGGATTAGCTAACCTCCGTTGATTTCCGCCAGTATACATCGAAAGTTGCTCCGCCTCACGCGACGACGCGGTCAAAGCTATCTGTGACGCGTTCATGGCCGTGCTGGAAGATTGGATAAGGCCCTGTGCCCCTGGTGTGGCGTGCGCGGAGCGGATTGTTACTTCTTCTGGGTTCGTTTTTGATGTACCTAGGTAGGTAGAAAAATAAAAATAAAAATTGAGCTCCCTTGTTGCTGTTCATGCCGGTTTATCTCAAATATGTGGGGATGGGTGGATGGATGGATGGACGGATGGGATGGGGATTGAGTTATAATATACTCCATATATACATGAAGGTCTGTGTGTATGTGCTATATGGTGGGTTTCCCTTCCTAGTCCCACTGCTGCGCGCAGCGGATAATATTTAATCAATCAAATCAAATCTATTTCAACATATACTGCTCATATCACGATCATGATTGTGTTACACATGTATGGACATGGTATGGAACAAGTGGAAAAAATGTTGATTGAGGGTTTGTTTATATGGGCATAGATACAAAAAGGGAATTAGACACAAGGGTAAAAAAACAAGAAGGTTGAAGAGGAAGGAGGAAAAAATAGTCAAAAAGGAAATAGATAGTTTAAGAATACTCGGTGCATCATTGCTGACGGCAACGGGAAGTTAAAAAGTAGTTTATTTGACAGAGAGATACATGGGTTTAGCTAGTTAGGGTGGTACATTTGACAAGTAACGTAGGGTAGGGCGAGGGCGGGATATTTTGCATATATACAGCATGGCATTTTATGCGGTGTTTTTTGGCGGGGAAATTTTGATTTCACGGATTGTAAAGTTGGTGTGGTGTACTGTAGTGGAGAGGGAAAAATTAGACAAAAAAAAAAAAAAAAAAAGACGCTGAAAGGCCAAGAAAACATACATCCTTCACTCTTAGAAATGAATAGCCTTCGAGTAAGTAGCCATAGCGGCCTCCTTGAACGCCTCTGACAGCGTCGGGTGCGCGTGGCACGTCCGCGCCACATCCTCACAGCTAGCACCGTACTCGATCGCCAGCGTGGCCTCAGCGATCATCTCGCCTGCACCGGCGCCGATGATGTGCACGCCCAGGATCCGATCCGTCTCCGCGTCCGCGATGAACTTGACCTGCCCCTCGGTCTCGAGGTTGGTCTTGGCGCGCGAGTTGGCGCTGAACGGGAACGTGCCGACGCGGTACTTGATGCCGGCGGCTTTGACGTCGGCTTCGTTCTGGCCTACCCAGGAGACTTCGGGGTGCGTGTACATGACGCTGGGGATGGCGGCGTAGTTGACGTGGCCGTAGCCCTTCTTGATGTACTCGACGGCGGCGACGGCTTCCTCCTCAGCCTTGTGCGCAAGCATGGGGCCGAATGTGCAGTCGCCGACGACGCGGATGTGCTGGGCCTTCGTCCGGTATTCCTGGTCGATGACGACGCGGCCCTTCTCGTCAACTTCGAGGCCGACCTTCTCCAGGCCCAGACCCTCGGTGTATGGTCTGCGGCCGATGGCGACAAGCACGACATCAGCGTCTAGGGTTTGCTCCTTGCCGCCCTTGGCAGCTTCGACGTTCAGAACGATATTTTTGCCGCTGGCATCGCCGGAGGTAACCTTCGTGTTGACGAGGAATTTGATACCCTGTCTCCCTAGAATCTTCTGGGCTTGCTTGGCGATCTCAGTATCCATTCCTGGGCCGCCGATTTGGCCTAGGAACTCGACGACGGTAACTTCCGCGCCCAGTCGGGACCATACAGAGGCCTAAGATACGTGTTAGATTCGAGTCCATTCAGGAGAGAAAGAGTGTGTGTGTGTGTGTGGTGTGTGGTGTGTGCCTGGAAGATTGAATAGGAGTTACAATACCATTTCCAGACCAATGATACCACCACCAATGACAACCATCTTTTTCGGTACTTCTGTTAGTGATAGGGCGCCAGTGCTTGAAATGATGCGCTTCTCGTCGACGGGCAAGCCGGGGAAAGGGGTATATTCACTGCCAGTAGCGACAATGATGTTCTTCCCCTTGAAAGTCTTCTCACCGCCTTCCAGCAGGTCAACCTTGACGGTGTGCTGATCAACGAACGAACCGGTCCCCTTAACATAGTCGACTTTATTTTTCTTTAGTAGGAACTCAATGCCTTTGGTGAGGGAGTCGACGGAGGAGTCCTTGGCCTTCATCATCTGCTCGAGGTTGAGCTTGACATCTCCGACCTCGATACCGCGCTTCTTGGTGTCGTGGAGGACTTGGTGGTATAGGTGGGAGTTGTTCAGAAGGGATTTCGATGGGATACAGCCGACGTTCAAACATGTGCCGCCCAATTTTCCTCTTTTTTCGATACAGACAGTCTACCCGATGGTAAGCGAAGGTTCGATAGATATGAACAAGAAAACTCTGTTCCAGCGCCCACCACAACATGATGAATATGGGGGAAGTAAATACTTTTAGGCCTTCCTGACCAGCTTTTATCGCCGCAACATATCCAGCAACACCGCCGCCTATTATAACCAAATCATGCTCCTCTATAATGGGGAATTGGGGGTGATTGTCAGTACAGTACAGTACACTGCTTCCGGTGGGTGCGGCTACTGCTGAGTCAATTGCCAGCGCGCTGACCGGGGTATTCTCTCACCTGTGCTCGTCGCATAACCTCTTCTCGAGTATCTAAGGATATAGGCACCGGAGAGGGGAGCTGAGATAGGGGAAATATGTGATTGCGGGAATGGCCGGCTAACCGTTCGGCCGGTTGCGAGACGAGGGAAGACGGGGCGGAACATAACTACTCTACTCGAGACTTGAGAAGGACAGGGTGCGGAGGTGGATCAGGAAACCAGAAACGGGATAATATCGGCAGCAATATCAGACAGAGGAAGAAAAAAGAGAAGAGAGAAGAGCAATTGAAGAGCGGGAGAGAGGAGGAGGAGGAGGAGGAGGAGAGTCAAGAGTTTCCTTTGTCGGAGTTCGTTGTTGGAGTTTGTTGGGGGACGAACAAATCGTTCCCTTGCCAAGAGGAGGCTGGCTGACTCAGCAATCTCATCTTCGCTTTGGATTTGGAGATGATATTGGGCTTGATTAAATAAAGAATACTAACTTAACTATCTCATGGATATATATCAGAATAACATACTATACTCATACTCAAAGCACGCCTCCTTGCAAGCTATGCCTCGTGTTGAGCTCCCGATCTATATATGTATATGTTAAAAAAAATGCTGTGCGGCTGTTGATGACAGACAGGGTTGGAATTGCTATCTACAGTGGTACATCATGGTAGTTGCGAAATATTCCATTGCAACGTGTGAATTTAAACAACAAAAAAGTAATTGCCCCGCGACCTCTGTCTCTGTTATCTAATCACTATGGCATCCTCCAATCAAAGATATCGCATCGTCGTACGCTTTGATAATGGGATTGTATAAACATTTTGGGTCTTGCGGGGTACCAATGATAATTCCTCTGCCCCCATACGGGAAAAGAATGTCTCGTATAGCTCTGCAAAGGGGTTTGACACACTCAAGTATTGGTGGAAACTCAGATAAAATATCCTCAAATCCATCTGCACCCATGTCGCCTCGCTTAATTCTTGCAATCTCTCTGTAAGTATCAGTGTACCATTTTGTCAGTAAACTGTTGTTTGGTGGAGAATATTCAACTGTGAAGAGATGCTCAAATCCACCAGTTCCAATGTTGCCTTGTTTGGTATTTGCAATTGTCTCATGACTTCCGGCGCACCATATTTCTAACATTCTATTTCTCAATCCGCCATGTCGCTGATACAACACCCGCAACTGGTTTAACTTGTACCAACCATGATGGGCACATTGCCAGATAAGCACGTAGAAGAATGACTCGAGATCATGTCGATAGGTATGGTCGATATTAAGTAGCACCTCAATTGCCATGAATTCCATTGTGCCAGTCTGGTGCCGTGCGCCACTTCTCCCACTCCCAACTTCTTTGGCGAGATCCAAATCAATTAGCATGCCTGAGTGACCGTCCGCCTTGCCTGGATCAGTTATTATTATATTGTTCTCTGAAATATCCCGATGAAGGATGTTCCCATCCAGATAAAGAGACTGGTGCGCCTTTATTGCATCGCAAAGTGCTGTGAGAAGCTCCAGGGGTGATCTGTAGTCATAGATCGGCCGGCCAGCAGGTGAGATCACAAGGCACCGGAGGATACGGTTGTCATACAGCTCCTCACTGTTTCTGTCGAAGAGGCTTGGCTGGTGCACTGACTGAATGGAGAAAGATAATTCACTCTCCTGCTGGGTGTTTCTTGATCGTTTGGATGTCTGCAGCCCCTTGTCCGGGGATCTGCGCTTCCTGGATGATGTCTTTCGATGGATATCTAAGTAACCGGGCCAAGTGAGTGGTTGAGAATGATGAAGCAGGGATGTTGTGCTTGGGGGTGCGCTTTTGAAGTTGTGGCGCTTGTTGTCAAATGTCAGGCCGCAGCGCATATCGGCGATACTAGTGATGGCACCATAGCCAATGATTGTGGCAACCCCTTGAACATTCTTCTGACTTGCCAGCTCAAGAAGTTCCGCCTCCGGCCGCCGCTTGTCTGACACCCATGAGAATTTAGCTACACCCTCTGCTTGTCCATCATTTGCAAGAAAACATGTGGTTCCGCGACACACAATGGCACGCTGAAAGGAAAGCATGTCACCCAGCTGCATCTTCCTTTCCTCTGAGTTTCCAGGCCCCTTGACAGTTATCGACTTGTTGCCATCTTCATCCCTAGCAATAAAGGTGTCCAGTCCCAGCTCCTCATCACTCATCATGGTGTAGCCCACAAGCACCTGAAAGAACTGTCTTGAGTCTGTGTAGACATCAATGATGCCTGAACTGTAGGGGCCTGAGCGGTCAAACACCCACACCTCCATCTCAGTCCCACAGACAGCAAATGCATGAATGAACCGCCGGGTGGGCTGTGCAGCAAAGACCTCACGGACATAGCGGCTCATCTGTAGCAGGGTGCCTTTGGTCTTGATCTCCTCCTTGGATTTTTTGAGCTCACCGACTACCAGAATATCTGCCCAGTTGTGATTGTTTCGCAAGAGACTCTCATCCCTAGGTCGCAAGGGACTCTCATCCCTAGTTCGCAAAAGAAGGTCAACTTGCCGTTCTGCCTTTGAACCAGTAAGATCTGCTTTACTTGCTGTGGTGTAGTACATGCTGCGTGATTCCAAGAGAAGATCTTCTTGAAGACGAAACCACCAAGTGAGAACATTGCTCTGTGTAGGAGGATCGGGAAACTGAGCCCAATTACCATCAGTGTCTGGGGCCAGTACACGTTGACAGATGGCATCTGCTTTGCTGCTCCAGTCCTTTCCCTCAAAGTATTTGTCAAAGAAGCCACCAACATCTCGAAATGTGCAGTCATGTATCTCCTCAAAGATTCTTGGATTCACCAAGTCACAGGTCTGCTCAGAACCTCTCTGTGATGTTGAGGTGGATTTGACCGGTGTGCTGTCAAAAGAAGGGGGGACACTTGCGGGAGGAGTTGTTTGTCGAGGGATGGTGTCAATGAGGGTAAATACAGCTTTCCAGACATTGAAGTTCCAGGTTTCGACATTCTGGGACTCAGTGGGAGGTCTTTGAATAACCAGGTGCATCAGTGGCTGGTAGTCGTTGTATCTGAAAATTTCTCTTGTTTTTTGGAGGCGCTTGAATATGTGTGCTAGATCAGATGCCACATTTCCATCACTTATCTGTGAGCGAAGGCTGTATGCTGCAGCCTCTCCCTGTAAGGTATAGACAAGTTTTGAAAACACACTTTGATAGAGTTGATCAAGGCTGTCAACAGCACCATGGTGGGAAATTAGACGCGACTCATATATTCTTTCAGCTTCCTGAAGTGCACCTTGTAAGCGATCGACTAGGTCGGATAGAGGGTGGTTCTTGATAATGTTGCAATCTTCTTGCGAAAGTCTTGTCATTTTGACGTTAGAAAAGACTGTTGTGTTGGGTTGGTGTGAAGGTTGGTTAACTAGGAGTTGTAAGGAGAGACAATTTTATGTGATGAGCAAACACGGGAACAAAAAATGCAGAATTGTTTTGAGGTAGTTATATGATATCTGCGAGAGAAGATAGCTGGATTTAGTCCTCTTTGTTTGATCGCGACGGTAATAACAACGCGAAAAAAGTAGAAAGTAAGGGAATTGGGAGTTGGGAGTTGGGAGTTGGGAGTTGGGAGTTGGGAGTCGTCGGGAGTAGGAAAATAGGGAAGTAGGGAGTCATTTATTGAAATCGTATTTTGAGAAGCATCGGCTAAATATTCCCATTTAGGAAACCAAGCCCGCAAACCAAACTTGTAGAAGTATCAGCCAATAATAATTTCTTATAACTAGTTACTAAACAAGCATCAAACGCTGTCGCTTACGCACCCCTTTCCCCCCTGTAGTTATGTGCACTTTTCTGCTTTCTGACAATATCACATACATAACTGGGATTTCCTTTGTTAAGTATATATTTAACTAAGAACTCTATAAAACATATTCAGAGTGAATCCAGGAGAGATTCTGCAGCTCATGTATAAGTTACTACTTTGCAGCTTAGAGAAGAGTGCTCAGTATTTCTTCAAGACTTCACTTCATATCAAGAGACTAATAGCTTCTCTGCTCTCTTAATTATTTCAAAAGGTCTTCTCAATTACCACAGCACAGCACGGTAGTTATTACCCTGAACAAATATGCCGCTTATGGCGGAGAGATTAGTTTCGACCGAGTGTCAGGACAGATATTTAAAAGAGAATAATAATAAGAGAGACGAAAAATAGTGTTGTACAGCTAGTTCTATTATCATGCATATCTTCTTTAAAATCTAGATTTAGATTCTCTTTCCTATGCATCATTTCTATTTCCCGCTTTCTCATGTAGTTAATCAATGGCAGAATCCAAGGCAGAATTCAAGGACTAGCTTGCTTTGTTGTTGAATGCTGGAAGTATGCGGACCAGGCTACCGTTCTCCTCCATCTCCTCCATCCTGTTCAACCATCATGAGGTTCTGGCCAGCTTACTGGCCCACGTCACTTGCAGTCGTCTGAGAAGAGGTATTTACCAAATTATGCGCTCGCTGCTGAAAGAATCGAGTGATTGGCCTTTAGTCTGCGCTGCTGTGTTCAGAGGGGATGGAATGGGCTTTGCCGCAATTATGCAGCCGGGCTCAGGCGCTTGGGGCGAGACTTGGGTGGTTGGAGGAGGTAAGTTATTGCTTCCGTTAATTTCTTATTCTTGGTGTTAATTCTTTTACGTTGTAATCCAGGCAATGGCATGGAGGTTCTGGAGAAAAGAGTTCTTATAGCTTGACTTCCCCCCTCATATCCCCACCCCCGATTCTCTTGCTTTGGCGTAGGAGTGATCATGAGGGATTTCGATGTGCCTCTTGCCTTTTATATAATAAGTACCGCTGTTATAGAAGGGGTTGACACAATTTGCCGCCTTGCCTATACCTGGTGTTGATCTACGACGCCCGTGTTGTAAGTGCAACCCTTCTTTGTAACAACTAAGCTCATGCTGAGAGTACATCTAACCTCCCCCGGTGCTGTAGATATCTAATAACACCCAGAATTTATAGCTAAAGGGAAGAATTTATCACAATGAATGCGTCCAACTTCGACACAAGAAACAGAGGGGGAAGTCTTGCAGGGCAAGAAAGAACAATGCAGTCCTCATCCTCGACTTCCGAGCGAATAAAAACTCGCAACCGCGCCCAAAGAAGATCTTTCAAAAAAGGTAAAAATAACAATGCAGTGCGTGATAATAACACCTCTATAGCACCAACCAACAGCCCGGCATCTGTTCAATACCCCCCTGACATCTCTTCTCCAGCGCAGAGAACTGGTGACTGGAATTGGAGCAGACCCAGCAACGCATTAAGCTCTATAGACCAAGTGCAAGGTCGTCTCAGGAGAGAACTGATGGATCTACATTTCCCGCCATTGGTACCTATTCCAGTAGAGGTACATGCTGCGTCAGTTCCTCTAGCTAGAAGGACGGTGGAACGACCGAAGCAACCTCCTGCGTCATTACTAGCCCCTGAACAGGCCCCTAAACAGGCCCATGACATGACATACAGACGTGATGATGGTTCGTCCCTAGCTGTCAGCGAGACCGCTACTGCGGAACTAGCGCAAGAGCTGGGCCCTAGTAACATCGAAGCGACCCCTGAATATATGCTGCACTTGAATGCCCTCATTGCCAAACCAAGGACTCTCAAGGAGGCTGGATATGTTCTCAACCCACTTTCAACTAAGGACTTTGAACAAAAGAAAAGATGCCGTGGGTGCGGCACGAGTAAGCACCTTTTTTTTTTTTTTTTTTCTTTTTCCGTCTCCCTTGATTGCCTACTTCCCACAAGTATAATTGATGAAACTAACGGATAGCAAGCAATGGCGAAAGTTATGCGCCCGAGAGAGAGAGCGGTGCAGAAGAGGGAGAAATCCAAGGATCACCCAATAAAATCGGACTATAATGCTAGTGAGAAGAAAGACTCCTCGCAGAAGGAGAAGGGTGATGGCAAATGTGAGGACGATGAGACCAAAACAACACCGAAGAAGAAGATTATACCCTGCAAGTTCCATCCAGGTCCACCGGTGTGGAATAGGCAAGGAAAGGTATGCCATATCATCCTACTTCAGCCGTGTAAAATATCTTGGAGGTGACAAAATTACGCGCTTAATTCAATCCACTTACTAAATGAAAATCCCATGAGCTTATTTACCTAGATATGGTCGTGTTGTCGCCAACCCATGTCCGCAGATCCTTGCAGCGGTGCTGAGCAGCATATCGCTCGCTATTATCTTCCTGGGGAAATTCAGAGACTCTGGCAGTTCCATCCTACTCCACGGACACCAAATATGTCCTCTCCAGATACCCGTGCCGCGGTCGCTATTGACTGTGAAATGGGTCAGGCAGCGTCAGGAGATTCCGAGCTCATCCGGGTTACGCTGATAGATTACTTCTCATCGGCTGTGCTTATTGACAGTCTCGTATATCCAACCGTGAAAATGGAGCACTACAGGACGCGATTCTCCGGCGTCAGTAGACGTGATATGGAAACTGCGATGAAGGAGGGGAGTTGTATTATGGGAAGAGACATGGCTCGATTCACCGTGTGGAGATACGTTGGACCTCAGACGGTTGTTGTTGGGCATTCGGCTCATAATGACTTGGAGTCATTGCGTTGGATCCATTCTAAGGTCATTGATACGCATATTATCGAATCCCTATTGGAAAAGGAAAAGAAGTGCGAATCTAAAAAGGAAGGCGATAAGCCCGAGGAGGATGGCAAGGAAACAGCTGAGAAAGATGAAGCGACACCTCTAACCGAGGAGTCTGGCGGAAATGAACATGAAGCTGAACATCAACTAGATGAAGACGAAGAGTCGAATGCAAATACAAGCAGCAAAGGACCGAAGAAATCACCCAATTCAGGGGCAAGACCTGACGAAAGCGCCCCTGACAAGGGCAAGCAGGGGCCGCCCAAGAAGAGAAATAAAGGAAGTGGTAAATTGTCCCTCAAGACTCTTGCTAGAGAGAGACTGGGACGGGATATTCAAAATGCAGGGAATAAAGGTCATGATAGCCTGGAGGATGCGCTTGCAGCCCGAGATCTGGTCCACTGGCATATTGTAAATCGGGGGAGGGTTGGATTGGACGACGGGTAGAAAGGGATACAGTAGCTTAGTCTTCGCTGCGGAGTTAGGCGACTATGGCATACGATCCGTATTTGTGACTACTTTGATACAGAGATAGACAGCCTGACATGTCACATTATCTGCAAGTTTTTCCTCATGGCACATAAACACATCGATAGGCCTTAAAAAAAGAATAAAGAACAAAAGAAAAAAAAAGAAGAAAAGAAATCCAATACCGTCGTATGGTAGAAATCATCTCCAGGTGGCGTTGTTCTTTTGAGGCCTACAATGCAGCTTTGGCCAATATTGTAGGGTTTCTGTGGCCCCAATGCACATTTGATTGGTTGTATGTATATAGGTCTCAGAGCGTTGCCAGTTGTCTCTGGAAAACATACCTCGAGCCTTGCGTCGAGATGGAAGTGGAAAAAGGGTTTTCTTAACAAGACGTATAAGTATAAGAAGGTGACCAATCTGTTTCCTTTTTTCTCGACCTGGTCTTGTTTCTCTCGTTCGTCTTCTCCAGTTCCGCTGGCAGCTGGGATCATCATCCGGCAATAGTGTCTATCTATATTCTTCCATCCCAATTGTCTGCCTCTATACGCTCTTCGAATTCTATCCTTGTTTGATCTGCTTCTCACAAGGGTAGATACCGTACCAGCCGGACGGGGCAAACTCGCCTCCCCGTTCGGCTTGAAAGCAATCAGAGGAGTACCCATTTTTGCTGTGAATTCTGTGAATATACAATTACCATTCCAGGGGAAAGCAACGTGCGACTGAAGACAAATCTCCTCCATATCCCTGTAGGAGGTTAAAATTCCCCCCACTAGGCATTCATAGCCATGGTCTTCTTATTCTTCATCTCCATCTCTTCAACCCCGTTCATTTCCGCCCTATTTGCCCCCTTCGTCCCGGTGCTGTAGTGGACGAATTCGGGAACAAAAGGGGCCAACATCGCGGAGATGACGGGGATTGAGACGATGGAGATGAAGGGGACGAAGAACCAAAAAACAACGTGGATTTTCCGTACCCGTTCATCGAACCGAAATGGTTAGATATTCAATTCCCGGGGCCGATGCCACAGCACCAGCGGCCCCTGGGACGAGAACGAGAACCATCGGGGGAAATCGATTCTGAACGTGACGTGGAGCAAGAGGTGTCGATAATTGAGGAGTCGAAGTCGAGGGACGGCCTGTGGGCTAGTGTGTCCAATGCCTCCTCGCCGGTGATCGCAACACCCGGTTGGACAAATGCAGCGCCAGTATCGGTAGAGTCTCAGGGGTCGTGGAACGGTAGCGGTGATTTCTTCTATGACGGTGGCTACACCGATACATATAGCCCTTTGGGGTCGTCGGGAGGTCTATCTTCTCCATCCAAATCTAGTCATGTTTCAGATGCAGATGCAGGTGGATTCGCTCAGCAATACGGATGTTCCGAATGTTCATATGTATTTGAGAGGCGATATGAGCTAAAGTAAGTTATTGTCATGCCCCACCGGTTGGATTCCTGTTTCCTACTATCCCTGTAGCAACAATTGACATAGGCTACACGAGTTCGTTCTCTTTAAAAGCTGATGCGGATGGCAGTTCCCATATGAAAAAGCACACGGTTCCATATAAATGTCGATATATGATTGAGGGGAGCGGAGAAAAATGCCCGAAGGCATTTCGACATCGCAAGGACCTCATTCGGCACCTTCAACGTAAACACCCCGAGTCAGTCCCGGATTTCACGCCGCTATATTGCCCGGTTTGGGGGTGTCAGCATTCGGAGGGAAGGGGTAAAGGGACGAGGAAGGATAACTTGCGCAGACATCTTAGGGGACAACATAGGGATGTGTATTTACCTTTGCGGAGAGGGTTTGGATGAGCGGATGCCTGTGGGGGACGTTTACATGTATCTTTGAGTGTGTTCGTCGCTTCTAGTATGTGGCTCTTATAGTTAAGTATTTGAAGATCAAATCAAAAGTAAATACGCTCGGGGACGTAGTCAGCCTGCAGCATGGAGATAAACCCTTGAGAATCCTTTCACTAACTAGAGACTAGAAAGCATGACTCACTAAAAGCAACGAACCAACTGTAAACGGCGTCCGGGCCTCGTTCCAGTCACCCGACGGATAAAAACATAAGAGGCACAGGCGTATAAAGTAAGGGCTAGATTTGTCAATAGCAAGAATTCTTCCTAGTGAGGCAAGTGATCAATCGGCCTTAGTGGTCGTGACATTTCGCATGGTAGCATTGGTCAAGTAGAGATATGAAGTCTTGACGCTGCAAATAGCCGGCTGAACTGGGTGTGGACCCGTTTAAGCGTACGTATCATGGCCACCACCGCCCGATCGATGGCAGTTCCAACTCGTAGCTGTAGCTGTGGATGCTAGGAGGGCGACAACGGGGGCTCCGGTGATTTTCTGAAGAAGATTAGCCAACAAAACTCATCGTATAATGAATAATTAGTATCATCTTGGATAATTTATATCTTTGTCGGGGTGTGAGGAAATTGAGCTGTAGTACGATCACACTGGGTGTTTTGCAGATTGTCTAATCTAATCTCCTCATAGCGAGTAGGTTAGAATGGTCCGGGGAGAGAAAATAATGGATAAAAGGATATATTACCTCAGTCAGCAGCTCTCTACCGTGAGATATCGAAAGAAAACAATAAAAAGTAAAGGGAACTCAACCTGTTTTTATACCAGCAAGTCCCTTTGTATTTTTTTATCCTAATCTCGATTGCAAGAAGGCTTGGGATCAGAAACAAAGTGAACTCAGAGTTACTCATAGCTTTGAACCTGAACACTCCAACTGATGCTCCAATCCAAAATTGAAAATCAATATATTGCGCGTAGTAAATACCATACAGTACATGCAGTGTGCTAGTTAAACTACGTACATGCTAAATATGTACGTGAGACAAACTGTCATTGAGCTAAAGTGAGCGAGCACTCATTGGACATGGCCTCTAGTTGAAACTGGAGCTTAAACCATAGGTATTCATTTTCCAGTCAGCTGGTGAACTAGAAATGAACCCAGCATTGTCCTACTGCAACAATATATCAGTGCATTCTAAACAATCACAGCCAAGGGAGACCGCACAGCTTGCCTAATATCTCATCTCGCTAGACTGGACCCGTTGGCCATCTAGGCCACAAGGAGAGTAGTAGGTAGGGTAAAACAGCTGACTCCAGGATGCTGGTGGATTCTGCGCAAGTAGGATACTGAAGCTTAGCTTCTGCTCAGTTCAAGATGCAGAGGTAGGTTACACTGGTATCTCTTGCTCAGTTTTCAACGCCTGCAGCTTGTTCTGGCAGCACTGAAATAGAGCTGGGTAAACTGACTCTCAAGAGCCATTTACATTGAAAGTCTCCTCTATTTCTTTTTCAGATAGCTGATTTGAGACAACCAATGCACTTGAAAAGCATTGACAACAGCAAAATGAATTTCTTCATGGCATTGCAGCGGGGAACCTCCTCGGTTTGAGATGGGACCCTTTTAACATTTGTCGATGGGTATTCCGCCTTTCTGTTCTAGAAAGAGTCATTTGCCACAGAATTCAAATTCAACTGGCGACGCGTATGAGGGTGGTGTTAGCCAAATCAAAGTGACGGTGAAAACAGCGTACATCCGCATGCCCGGTGCCTACTCCGACTGACATGCGATGTCCACTTCGTCGATTCCCCAAAGAGGGTCCATTCTGCTCTTCTAGCTATCGACCTGGTGTATAAATCCTGTAAGTTTAACGAGTAACAGTGCTCTGTTTTCCACCCCAAGTTCGGCCTCGCTTCGTGGTTTCTTGGCTTGGCCGCTCCGCTCCTTTAGTTGGTCCTCCATGCTTTGTTTCGTAAACTTTCAGACGCCCTTCTTCGTTGCTGTTCAACCTCTGGCAGCTCTTCAGACCATTCTCTTGTCTCCGGGGTCAGCCCTACCCAGAGGTTGTGGCACATCTTTCTGAAGCTGGGAACGGAGGTAGCCCCGTCCAATAGGACCACAGCGGCGTCGGAAGTTCGTCGCCGCCGTTGTAGCTTCCTCGGTAATTTCTGGTCAGCAGTTTCTGTCCGTCCACAGCTTGGGCGTGGATGGAGAGCTTCAGCGTAACACCCAAAATCTTGCATAATTCGTCCAGAAAATCTGAAGATGAACTATGGACTCTCTATCAAACAAAATAGCGGTGAGAAATCCAGAGTAGATATATGAATGGGCGGGAGCCTGGTTATTTCGCCGTTATTGGCTATGGCTGTGGCGAAGGGAACTGAAATTTGCTCCTTGCTGAAATAATCCATGATCGCGGATATATAATTCTTTCAAATGAATAAACATTTCCCTTGTCGATCTGCTCTTGGTATGGGTTTATGGAGCCTCAGGGAAAATATTTATAGCGGCCGCCAAAACGGCAGGAGTTGGCATGGTCTGTATTGTCCTTCTTCCGTTGTATCTAGCAATAATAATGCTTTATCCATGCCAATATTTCCCTAATTCCAGGATGAGCGGTTGAAGGTTCTGGAAAAGTGATGACCAACAGGTGTGAGAGTTGTGCGCCCGCGAGGTCATTTTCTCCAAGTACCGCTAACAGTCCTTGTGGTTACAACCCACCATTGAACGGCTAATCCTGGTGTTCTTAGATTGACGATTCCTTGATCCATTGACGGACTTAAACAGTTTTGGTTAAACATAAGTCCGATCACCAGAATCAGGTTGTCCGGCGGGATCCATTGATCTTCAGGTTTAGGGTCTCTAGCATCAGTAAAGCTCGCATGTCTCGCGTTCTAGGTGGATCTGTTCAACTTATTCAGCTTGCTGGCTGGGGCTTTCACCCGTTCATCGATATTGGCAATGTTTCCCAGTGTAAACGGTTATGTATTTAATCTTTTGGTATTCATGAGCTTATCCAGGGCATTTCACCGTTCATATTGTTGAGATTCCAATTCCGCCTCTCACTCTTTTAGAATGTTGGCCATTTCTTAGCTTCGCCATGGCAGATACCATTCGTAGTACGACAGCAGTATGCGACAGGATGCGAGCAACTGGCTTGGTACTTGTGTGAGGGCGTGCAAACGCATCCTTCCGGCCGCTGTCTCTGTTGCCAGATGATTTCTCTTCCTAGATCGTAATGGCCCAAAGCTGGGGTATTATCTAGGTGATTAACATCTTCTTCAGTAGTTCAAATTTGTTGTTGACAGGCAGCACTCCAAGGCAACCCATCATCCCTTATGGTCAACCAGGAGAAACAGAAGGGAGTTAAATGACCAGATGATTCTCTAAACCATATATTAAAGCTATAGAAACCCTAATAGCGACAGAACTGCCTTTGACAGCTGAAAGAATACAACAGTCAACAATCACGGAAGTCTTCCTGGGTCAGTCTTAATATTCATAATGAATCCAGATATTGTTCCGGCCACATGGAATAGGCATTGGATGGGGTGGCCTGCAACTATATCCTGCAGCTCTCTCAGATCAGGCCTCCTCCGGTTACTTACTGCTGTAAGTGAGAAGGTCATCGACAAATGTGGTCATAAATTCATTGATAGCTGAAGAAGGTAGTGGCAACGGAGTGTTGAAAACAGGCTCCATTCAACCGTCAATTCATTCGTGGATTAGCGGTCTGGGACTCATCCTTCGCATATATATAATCTTTCGGGATGAGGGCAACTCATTGAATTTCAATTTAAATTCCTTCCCTTGTAGCTATTTTAGGAGCGGTTGCCTGGGCTCGTCTCAGACAGCACATTTCAGCGGCCGCGATAGCGTTAGTTCCTCAGCACTCCTTGATATCAGACTGGGAGGAGAGCTTCTGAATTCTCCTTATCCAAACGTCGATATGCAGGTGTCTTGGACTTCTAGAATTGGACAAATTGAGAACCAGAGCGGGCAGCGCGATTATATTGACTGGCTGACGCGACGGGCTGCAACGTTAAGCGCCGGGCTAGCTCAATCGGTAGAGCGTGCGGCTCTTATGTCACAACATCGTGTGACCGCAAGGCTGCGGGTTCGATCCCCGCGTTCGGCTATCTATTATATACTTCTTTCTTGCCCGTTACTTTTTGTTTTCTTTTTTTTTTTTAATTATCTTTCTTCCATTTTGTATTTTTTTATATTCTGTTTATTACTTTTAACTTTATCGGAATACTGGACTAACAGCTAGTGCTCTTTCTAGAGGGTTTGTCTTGTCATCCCGCGCAGATGATTTCTCGCAGCGACCTCTCTACGCCCCGAATCATGAGCAGTGCCCGCCTAGCCTGCGGTATGACCCTCAATTTTCGGTAGTTCCACCCTATATTTTAGTGGCATTCTCATACAAATAGAAGATTCTTATTCTCTTCATTCTTATTATCCTCATTCACACTATTCTTTATTATTGTCTATCAAGATGAACCTCCTTGCTGCTCTTGAATCTTCTGCTACATCTTCAAAGCAATTAACCTGCAATCAATGTTGAGATATTTTTCTTCTTCAGTCTTGATTGAACTTATGAAAATATCTTCAATCATCTTGAGATTGTCTATCAAGACTCAAGAGATTCAATACAGATGCAATCTGAGTGCAGCTACTTCTCAGAAGCATACTGATCACTCTATTCTCAGACTGTATGAAATCATACGAAGCTGTGAATACAGAAGAACCGTGAAGATGAGGAGAATCTGTCTTGTGAAGTTGTGATGCACTTCAAGAAGTGATTAGAGCTGTCTGAGATGTTATGAGAGAGGAGCAGCTACAGGAGCTTATAGCAGAGATGCCAGCTCACTGTCAGACAGTTATACAGGCAGGTGATGACTATACTAGATATGAATATGATTATTGATTCCTCTACAGATTATTCTATAATAATGAGAACGTGCTCAACGCGAGAATGCCACATATACCCCCTCCCCAGAATGATGGTTAGAATGCCACTAAAATATTAGGATGGAACTAACGAAAATACCGGGGCATACCGTAGTACATCATCGATTTAATGCTATCCGCCTTGACCAACTTCAACCAGTTCACCCTGTCCCGCCTCTGGATGTCCAAGGAGCTAGATATATATGGTGACCCTTTGCCATGTCCTCCGAGAGCCCTGATGCTCTCCGCCTGTCTTGTCGTTGGAACAACCTCTCCGTATGCTTCCACGAAATACCAAGGCACGGCCGGCTGGGTCTGAGAGCAAAAAACGGAATATCAAAGGCATTTGTGCCCTAAGGACAGGCAATTCCCAAGCAATGACTGCAATGACCCAGCCTCACACGCCCACTGACTGGGTCCATTATTGGCGCTTGATCCGCTGACGGAACCTTAGAAAGCTAACGGATAGTCCCTTCTGTTTGGCTTGGCACTTGCGGGAGGTTATTATATCAGGCATCTCAACGGAGCTACGGTCTGTTCTCTGTTCAGAATCGAAGAACTGCCCGCGTCATGACACAACTGACTAAGAAGATAGAGTGTGGTATTTGCTATATACCATCTGCTCACAATCTACTACGGCGTGTTTCGTTTTTGCCAACCGCGGTCTACTTCAGCGGGTATCACTAAAGCTATGTGCTACTCTTGGACCGTTCGACTTCTTAATTCTAATATTGCATCACGGATTCAGTGACATATGAGCCAACTCGGCAGCTTCCCCGATTTCCTTTGTAAAGCTAGCCCGGAGGGAACAGCTTGTTCCTCATGAGTTTTGGATTTTCTCCTTCAGACAGCTTCAGCCTAATCGAAATATGCCATTATATCGTTAATTGCCGACATGGCCCCACGAGTGCAGCGCAGGTCATCACTGGGCTTCGTGAAGAGGTGCTAGATTTTTTGAGGATCTTCTAAAATGCTTCCATCTTATTCTCGAAGAGACGGATGAAGTTTCCTGCATCGAGCTCCGCGGGGTGGAAACTACATTAAGAGAATTTCGAGCGCATCTGGAAAAATATTCTGTTTTACAATAGCAGTCCTTAGGAAACGACCATCTCGAGCCACCAAGCCCGCGCGTGAGTATCCGCAGGTCAAGGGAGATTCTGATGAAATCGAAAAATGCGACTCGATTGGGAGAGGAGGTTGTCAGGCACTTGGCATGGGGAGAGAAGGACATTATAGCTTTGCAGGAAAGAATCGAGAGGCATAAGCAGTCACTGTGGTTGTACCTCATTTGGGCTATATCATTCGCAGCGAAATTGCGGGAAATTTGGTGTTTCTGACATGCGTTCAGGGAGAAAACCGCTGGTATCAGGATAAAACTGATGAGCATGGAAAAGATGCTTGCGGAGTTGCGCGCAGAGCCAACATCGACATCGATCAACGTGCCCACCCACTTGGATCGGGATGTTTCCTTTTCGTTCCCGATCGACGCAGGTGTCACATACGCAACGGACAGATATCAAGCAATTCTAGCTGCCATGGAACGCCAGATGGAATTCGCCATGCTGGAAAGGAACCGGGCAGACACTGGCGAGGGCGAGGAGTGGGAGACAATTTGTGGCCAGCCTGATCTTTTCCACCGTAGGGTTCTCAACGCCATAGAACCCAAGGCAAACGCTTCAGCTCAGCATGGAAATGGATCTTGGCCTTCCCACCATGAATTCAACAAGGCTCTGCTTTCACAAAATGCGATTGAAACCCCACTGAAAAGAGCTTCCACTTGAAATGATGCTAGCCACCATGAGCCAACTAATCCACTTCCTCCCCTGTATGAAGAGAGAGGGTATCGGTTCGAAGCTGGATCAACGATCTCTACGGCGACTGAATCAACCTCACCGTTGCCTTCAGTGTTCTCATTTAACCCGCCTTTGCGAACTGCAACGACAAGCACTGTCGACAGCATAGATCCTCTGACGGCTAACACTAATGTTTCGGACATGAAGCGCAGACCCTCCTCGAACACACACGTCGGGGAAAACGGAAACACGAAGAGCAGAAGCTCCTACCGCGGCCTCATATTTCTTTATCGAGTGAGACGGAGTTGTCGCATCGCCCTAGCTTTGAATCGTCAAATGGATCGGGAGGGCAAAGAAGTTGGAAAGCTTTACAGTTGAATGGCTGGGCAAAAGTGTGTGACCAAGTTCCATTTCTACGTCTATTAACTAATCCACTTTCCCCGTGGTAGTATTTGGGATGGCTGTCCCTCTCCAGTTTAAATACTGCACTCTCGAAGCAGGCCATCGCAATGACGACCGTCTGTACACTATTAATGCCGTTTATCTCCACGATTACTCAACAGCAACTTCCCATTATAAAATGTTCAGGTAACGCTATTTCCATCTTATCAGGTGTTCGAACAGGAGCTAAAGTGACAAGCAGTATCATCAGCCGCGAGACGGCCGATCCCCCACATGGAACCTCCAGGCCCTCAAGATGACTCTTCAGATGCTTTTCGCGTTTATTTCGTTAAACCTCCGATTATGAAACAGGGAGAAGAAAGAGTTCAATATTTCTTCAAGAAGCAAAAGGTATCCTTGATAATGTGAACAACCCTGTATTTAATTCCATGTTTGACTCATATCTCTAATACTGTGTTCCTCCGCGGTAGACCAGTTCAGTTTCCAGAGTTGGATCTACGGCCGGAAACTTATTTTGGCTACTATCATACAAAAGATTTCTTCTACTCAAGGAAAGGAATCAGACCGACAGTACATTTGGATATGGGAAGCCACGTCGCCAGGACATCCTCGAGCTCTTCTTTATTTGGCTACTGTGAGGTTCAAGAAGTACATTGAAATTAACGGTATATAATTTGATTAGTGAGAATCATGGAGAATCAAGATTGTCTCGCTAACCATCCTCTTTAGAAAAAGAAATTCTGCCTAACTACAAAACTTCGTCACGAAACAATGTTCTTGAACTAAAACTTCTCTCACTAATGCAGCATTTACATTTATCTCCTAGAGGTAAGTAACCATCTGTGCCACCCAACCGCTCCCAGCTTGGTCCTTCGAAACAAGGATGCTTCAGCCTCATCATAGTAGCAAAAGTGATCTTTTCGATGTCTCTCCATAGATCTGTAAGATTTTATCCGTGCCCTGTCCGCCGCGAGAGCCCCATGCAAAGACATAGCTGACAAGTTCATAGATCTTCCACGTATGGCGTTTTTAGCCTTGACCACCCTTGGCCCCTTGCAACCTCGTGGTTGTTTCCGGGCTTCTGTATGGGCCAAGGAATCCCTGACAGCTTCCAATACTTTCGTTAATTCTTCCGCCCTCCTATTTTCGTTTGGAAAGATCACAAGAATAAGTTGTCGGCAGTGCATTGTCTGTCTAATGAGGGGCTATGCACGGTGCACAAGATCTCAACACCGATGGAAACTCATCCTATCCTCCCTGTTTTCGTCGTTTACCATCTGACAGCATGTAACCGTGCTACTCCCCATGAACCATTGGCCGCCACATGAAATGCCGAGATATGCTCTGGGGTGATCAACCGTTGGCCAAGCGACTTGGTTTCCAGGCCGGACTTCCCGCCTCGCGTTTTTGACAGCTTCTAACTTATCATAGCTCCATACAAGAAGAATAAGACTCTCTCGAATTCACTTTTAACCGAAGGGAGAGCTTCTTGCCATGGACTTTTCTAGATCTATTTTACAGATGTGGCTTTCAATGACCTAGCGGTCGTTTTATTATGATCCTATTCTCAACAACATACTCTCTAGTGATGAAAATTTCCTATAGGTTTCAAGATCAAGAATCGCACAGAAAACTTCACCCATATTCCAGTGCGTTACTGAATCTTCAGAATGATCGTTTGGACTCAATTAATGGGTTAAATATTACAGGAGCTTCATTTAAGACGCCATCGAGTCTTTGATGAGCTCGATGCCACCCACTTTCAGGGTCTGGTTGTGTTTGTTGCCGGCGTAATCTTTTTCATAGATGGATATGACGTATGTAACGCATGCATCTTCGAATGCGGTCCTCAAACAGCAGTAAACAGGTTTACGCTTCAATATCACCTAACAGATATTCGGGGATCATAATCCCTATGCTTTCGCATGTCTATTGGCATGGAGCGATGCCCTCGGGAATCGAGACTGCTATGCGCGCTGCCTGCCCCCCCCCCCGTCAGAACCATTATCGGCCAATATGCACTCGGTGTTCTTGCGGACCTTTATGGCCGCCGCAAAATGTACGGGCTTGAACTGCTTGTCATTATCATCACAACAGTCGGGGTGACAATGGCTTCGGAAGGCGCCTCGCAATCAATGAACCTTGCTGGATGGCTAATCTTCTGGAGATTCCTAATGGGGATTGGGATTGGTGCTGACTATCCTCTGAGCGCAGTGATAGTATCTGAGTTTGTTCCTACCAAGTCTCGTGCTCGAATGATTGCCACTGTTTTCGTTATGCAGCAATGTTGATTGATACCTTATCACCACATTGGTGGCTCTTTTTGCTACATTGGCGAACAAGAATGGACTCCCGACCAATAATCCCTACATATGTCGACAGTATCAGATCATGCACTGATGACGAATTATGTCGACGGACAATAGATAGCATTTGGCGCTGGGTTATAGGAGTGGGGGCCATCCCGGCTGCCATTGACATACTTTTCCGGATTAGTATCCCTGAGTCCCCCAGACAGATATACCATGGAAGTTCTAAACCGGCCAGACGAGGCACTGGAAGATCTGAATGAAATGGGATGGAAACGAGCAACTCGTTCACCTCATCGTACACGCAACCCCGAGATGCAAACTTCCGAATCAAGAAGTCTCGCTTCCGAATATATTCCTAGCACAACACTGGTGGCATTTTCTCAAGCCAAACACAGCCCAGGGAACCGCGAATAATAGTGGCAATAACAATCATTCCAAAGCCCCTAAAATTACCGAGCACCGGGTATCAGGCGAGTCTAGCAGGGATGCGCGTAACAGATCAATACTCAGTCCGAATGCTCCTACTCTCCTCTCAGAAGCAAGCTCCATAATCACAGTTGATGGACCAGCAAGACGATCTATCAAGAACTATGACAATTCAGACATTGATGAGGAGAAACCAAGCCGGTGAGCATGATTCTACACCAGCTTCATAGAACTCTTCCTCACCAAAGACCACTGGCCCACTTTACTGGAGACCTCTCTCTCCTGAGCTTGCTTTGATTTCGCCTACTCTACTATGCCCTTAGCCCAAACTCCTACAAAGTAATTTCCGAAATCTTCAACGAAAAACCCCTGAAATTCACGCGAGATCCAGGTGGCTCCCCTCTTTCCCTCCCTACTCGCAGCGTCTACACCGACCTCCTCGAAAACTCGTGGCACACATCTCGCCGCGTACAATACAGCTATTCATCTTCCTAGTCCTAACTGCCATCCTTATCGCCATCGGCGTAAGTTTCGAAACCGTAAGCCATCACACCTCCGTCCCACCCATTAGCTTCCTATACATTCTCAGCCAGATATTCTTCAAAATTGGCCGCAATTTTCACTACCTTCATGGTCCCCGCGAAGCTTTTCCCCACCCGGTTCCGTTGCACCGCCCACGGCATCTCGTCTGCAGCGGGCAAGATTGCGTCTGTGGTTGTGCAGGCGTTCGTTGCATACGCACCCATTGGGTCCTACCGATCTTCGGATCCTGGTGCGGAATGGCTGGGGTATGTTATTATTATATTCGTGCCGTTTATGTTACTTGGGGTTGCGGTGACAAAGTGGTTGATTCCGGAGACGCGGGAGAGTGATGGGTCGAATACACTGCTGGAGCAGTTGGAAGATGTGATTAAGATGAATAGGCAAGTTAAGTTTTCGTGTGCGTCGGCGAGGAGAGGTGTGAGTGGTCTAGTGCTAAGCCTTTTGACTGCTTTTGTTTCGTCCGATCTCGTGAAAAATTTTCCCTTAGACACTGTCTGAGCAAGTGGTAATCATTGTAATAAGATATCATAGGCGCTTTTCCAACACTTTCTGTCAATCACACCTAATATGCACAGTGCTTGAATTCTATGGATTTTACATATTTCTGATCTGAGGTCCAATGGCACTACATTCCGAATCTATACATAGGGTGAAACAAAAATGAAGTGCAAATCATAACTCACACAGGTGAAAACAGATATCGAACTATACTAGGAGCAAAGCGAAGAAAAGGGAAACATCTGAGCCCGTTGGCTAACTAACTAATCAAGGCCCACCTGTCGTTTCCTCCACTCATTCCGTTTGTGCTTCAACTCTCTGAACAAAAGAATACGCGAATCAAGGACCTCAAAGTCAACTCCAATTGTTTCACATAAATCCTCCAGCTCTTCAGCCTGGTCCAGAAATTCCTGCGGGATCCCCGGCTCCGGCCCGTCTAATGTCATCATAATGCCGGGTTGATTCCGCTCGTCGTTTCTGGAAAATTCGCCCTCAATCTTTAACTCGCTGAGCCGGGGTGTGTATTGCGAGAAGTTAGAGGGCTCGACCAGATTCTTCAGGTGCCTGATGACTCCGGCATAATGACGTTTGGAAACGTTGGCCAGCGTAAGTGACTCGAGCGAAGCGGGGAATATCGTTGACAGCCGCTTGTGATCTGTGGGGTTCAATAGGGCGTCGTCGTAGTCGTCGCCTGTGCTGCCCAGCGCGTCCGTACCTATCAGACTCGTGGCTGAGATGTACAGTGATTTTAACACGGAAAAGCCGGCCAGGGAGCCAAAAGTCTCGTCATCTCCCTGGTAGGACTGCCCATTGAAATAGTAGTCGTCATAGCTGAGCCAGAGGTTTTCGAGGCTGTGCTTAACGTGAGCGAGAGAGCGGGCGAAATCTCTCGGGAGGAAACTAGAGTCATATTCAAAGGAGTCGGCGTGTTCGAATCTGAACGATGTGAGATTTTTGCACAGCTTGATTTGCCGGACGAATCCATTATTAGTATTGCTTCTCGAAATATCTATTTCGGACACGGTCGAAGTTGTGGGCTTGTTTTCTGAATATGCTAAAATAGTTGCACGGTCATCATAAACGCTGATTGGATCTTCATCTTCATACTCATCATCATCATCATCATCATCGGGTTTCGTTGGTATATAATCTGTAATTTGTTCGCCTGCAACACGGCGGACGGACGGAAAGAAAAAGAACGGCTCTAACGCTTCGGATTCAAGAGAATTCTCGCTATCATACCATTTGGCGAAGACGTGAGAGAGGCGGGTGAAAGCTGGCCGGGAATCAAAGGGCGGTAGACGTGCTGCCGCACGTTCGACAAGTCTCCGTGGGAAAGAGCATTCATATGGCACAGACAACCTCAATTCCTTCAAATTTGGGACAGAGAAAAGGAGTAGACCGACCCCATGCATCCTCATTGCCGGCTGAGAGATGAGCTAGAAATTTTGGTAGCGCATGTTCGTCGCTGGCAGTGTAGAGCCCCTGGGCCGCGTCGCGAATAAGGTCTTGGTCAAAGAGGAGCTCCGAATTTGGAGATGGAAGGGTCTCAGGTGGGTCATAGCTGTTTCTCCTATAGCTGAGCTCCGTCGACCAATCGTTAATCTCAAGAGTTTGAGTGCATGATGCAATATGCGGGTTGCGGAGGAGCGTTTGAACCAGAGCAATCACAGTCTTAGCGTCTACATCTTCCAGTTTGATATCGAGGAAGACGAAGCGGAGAAACAGCTCAGAGAAGGCACGAGAGCATAGTGCAAGATGTAGCCGATGGATTGGGCGTTTGATACCCAAAGCAATGTGGAGTAATATCTCGATGGGGAGATTGCTTAGGCTGAGGGGAGACATTGCTTTTCAAAACCCCTCGTTTTGCGTCCTAGAATCCATTCTTCGCTTCTTTCCCAGTCGATATGCTGGATAAGAGGGGGAATACGAGGTCCAACAAAGCATTCACCTGGAGCTACCAGCTGTATTCTTGTTGCGATGAAGAAGAGATCCAGCTCGCGGAAATGGAGGGTTGCCTAACCTCTCCTTGGCTTTCGAGCTGATGAAGTGCCCCACGAACATCAGCACTCCACTCTTGTCGTTTTGCTCACTTCTTTCAGATTTCAAGACCAGTGGCAGCAAACAGGAAGTTGGGAAGCTAGTGCATGGCCGCGTCTGGCCGATGTTCGAACCGAGGAGTGTATCCCATGTATCCCAACGAGCTGGGAAGCGAAATGCCCAGTTCATGTCGCGTCCAGGACCCTCCCTGCACGGTAGCAGTTAGCAGGCTAGGATAGTTTGTGATTGGCTTGTTGTTTTCTGAGCCCTTCTCAAAACTTGGTCCTAACTAAGTTAACTAACACTAGGGTACCGAAACCATTCATTCGATGAGATATTGAGTCTGTTGTTAGGGTTAGGGCTAGGGCTAATGTCCCAATCAGGCAGTTTGCGACAACCAGTTGCTACAGCGTCTAGGAAAGAGACGCCACAGGCTTGAAACCAGGTGAAACGCAGAGCAGTTGTCCGAAACATTTGGCTTTCAAAGGCTTCCCCGCATTTTACGCATCGCAGGGTGGGGGTTTGCAGCCGAAACTCTGACCGGGAGCTTCTACTGCGTACGCCCATCTCTCAACTCCTTAAACGTCAGCAAGGATACTCTCCATGTAGAACCATGGATATTCTTCCGAGAAAATGTACTAACCATCCCATGTTCCCGAATGCGGGGATTGAACTTCGGGATATTGATGTCCAAGGTAGAGATCCCTAGAGCGCTTCCGTTCGTATAACTCGCGGAGTTGCTACCTACAAACAAATCTAACAAGCATATAAGAGCCTAGGATCTCCCCCGCTCGATAAGAATTTACCGTTCAGGGTCTCCTCATTCAGCACTGCCATACTCCCTACATCCTATTCAAAGTCGCATTGCTATTTCACTACTACTTTACCTTTACTGCACCTAAGCATCAGGTCTGGTCTACTTCTACAATGGGTCTAACAGGCATTCGCACGGCCATGAAGGTCGACCTCAACAAGCCTGCAGGTGAACAAAATGGCTTGCATGTATGTTTACTAGATTTTATATCCATAAATTTCAGTTAATGTGGCCTTTCCATAACTCTCGTCTCGCTAACCATGTTATATCTATGTTGTATAGAACCGCTGGCATCCAGACAGTAAGTATTAGCCAATTGATAAATGGTGTCTTTCGGGCGCATTCATGCGGGGTAGTGAAGCTAACATGCCTCCCCCACTCCAGTTCCCTCATGCGCGACGATCAAGAACGGCGAAGTCGTGAAGATTGAATGCGTCGACTGGACTGGAGGGCAGATCAAGAACGATGATTGCGCAGATGACATGCGTGATATCGACTTGACTCGCGTGCATTATCTGACAGGCCCCTTCGAAATCGAAACCGCCCAGCCTGGTGATGTGCTCCTCGTTGAAATCCAGGATGTGCAGCCATTCGAGGATCAGCCGTGGGGTTTCACCGGCGTCTTCGATGCGAAGAATGGAGGTGGCTTCTTGGATGAGCACTACCCCCATGCGTATGTAAACAATTAAGCCGATCCCCTTGAAAAAGGGTTACGATGCTAAACCCCTTTGCAGTGCAAAGGCCATCTGGGACTTTGAGGGCATTTTCTGCTCGTCCCGCCACATCCCTCACGTCCGCTTTGCGGGATTGATCCATCCGGGAATCCTAGGCTGTGCGCCTTCCGCTGAGGTTCTCGCAGAGTGGAACAGACGCGAGGGTGAACTTATCTCCACTCATACCCATTTGGATCGGGTTGTGGCGAAGCCCCCCGAGCCCATCAACGTGCACGCGGGCAGTGCAGATGGGGAAATCAAGGCGAAGGTCGGAAGAGAGGGAGCTAGAACTATTCCTGTAGGTCACTCTCTGGAGCCGAGAACATATATGTTCTGTACAGAAGATGCAACCACAGATTCTAACAATGACAACCCAACATAGGGCCGCCCCGAACACGGTGGAAACTGTGACATCAAAAACCTCAGCCGTGGCAGCAAAGTCTATCTCCCAGTGCACGTCCCCGGCGCCAAATTCTCCGTCGGCGACTTGCACTTTTCCCAGGGTGATGGCGAAATATCCTTCTGCGGCGCCATCGAGATGGCCGGCGTGATCACCATCAAGTTCAACGTGATCAAGGGCGGCATGGCACACATGGGCATGAAATCTCCCATCTTCCACCCTGGCCCCGTGGAGCCGCAGTTCGGCCCCGGCCGCTACCTGACCTTCGAGGGCTTCAGCGTGGACCATACCGGAAAGCAGCACTACCTAGATGCCACGGTTGCGTACCGCGAGACCTGCCTGCGCGTCATCGAGTATCTGCGCCGTTATGGCTATGATGACTATCAGATTTATCTGCTGTTGAGCTGTGCACCTGTGCAGGGGCATATTGCGGGGTTGGTGGATATACCCAACGCGTGCACAACGATGGGGGTGCCGATGGATATTTTCGACTTTGATATTCGTCCTGAGTCCGATGTGGTGAAGCGAGATATGGGGTCTTGTGCATTTACGAGTGATCAGATGAAGAAGTAGTTTTTTGCGCGCCGAGTAGGGGGGCAATGAGAAATTCTCGTGTTATTTTCTTGTGCGCATTATGCGTTTGTCTGGATATCTATGTGAAGCTGGCCATCCAAGGATGAGATAATGAGTTATTAGTATTAATAAACTATTTTCTTTCCTTGTTCTGTTCCTTTTCGTTTCTCCGATTGATATGCGGTTGTTCAGAAGAAGGGGGAAGCATCGTCGATAGTTATTTTTTTAGTATGCAGAACTTGAGTTAATCACAGCTAGTAAAGCAATAGTTTTACAAGCTGCTAGACACTATTCTTTCTCCCAAGTGAAAGCAAAGAAAAGCAAACAGAACAGAAAATAAGAAATTATATACGGAGTACTCCGTACCAAATATTAAAAGTCCAACAAAAATGCTGAAGGACATGAACAGTTTAAGTTCTAATGCCATAATAAGGCGCTAATAAGTTAATCAATGAACTTACAATTTTTTCAAATAGGTGACCACCAAATGACAAGTGGCGTTTACAACGCCCTTACCTTCCCATAAACGAATGTCCCGTCGCTTTAATATTCACCCTAACATTCCGCTCCCCAGCCCACTTCACCGCCGCAACAACCTCTTCTCGTCCCGTAGCATTGACTACGTAAACCGGATACCCGCCAATCGAGCAGCCCTTCTCTCGTGTCCGCGGGTCACCATTGACGCTAGTCCCATTCTCGAAGTTAGAGAGGCACGAATCACCAGCCCAGGTTGGGTAGTCAATACTCCTAGGGTCCTGTAAGTGGAAGCTTGACGCATGCCATTGGGCAATAATGGAGCTGCAGACAGTTGGGTCGTAGGTAGGCTGCGATTTATAGCAGGCTGGTGGAAACGGCGCGGATGAGTTTCCCATTAATGGTGTTGTTGAAGGTTTGCCACTCTCAGGGACTGGGGACTATGTGTGATATGAGTTATGATTGTCTGTGAAGGGCGTGGTTTAGATGGAAAATCCATGTACCATATGCACGTTTGTACGTGCATCTACTTACGCATTCACAGTCCAGGGGCGTTGCCTTGACTGAAGTTGAATAGAGGTAGAGAATGGCGCAAGACAGGAGACTCCGAACAAGAGACATATATTTTCCCGAAGGTCCACCTCTTATGAACATGCTGCTCCCATTCTTATCATGCTTACAGAATGCAATGATATGACTGCATTTCTCTTGCAGACAAGTGCCACAAAGCATGATTACTGCAATATTATCAATCAGCTGCTCAAGAATGTTCTATTTGTCCAGCAAAGGCATGAATAGAGCCACATCTGGGACGATTATTCATCTGTCTTCATTGACACAACTCAGTTAGTTGATTCAGCCCAATCCCTTGAAGGTACTTTGATGTCTGTTTTCCAGGGCTGAAGAAAGTCTGCATGTAGCTGACTCAATGATTTGATGCTCAACCTATGCAAGAAAGTTAATGAATTGCTGGCTTTCAAATGGCTGTTTCAACAACTGGGATATCTTTTGACAAGAAACAATCTACCTAGGCTCCACTGAAAGCATTGATTGAGACTCAGCTGTAACAACCCTTGGGCACGCTGAGTCGGATTTCGCTCCACCAAAATCTGCCATGGGATTGACCATGTTCCCCAGCTGTGTCTTTTCCTCTATGCAGGAAATAAATACTCTGTAAAGGAAGTAAGCAATGTATGATGGCGCAATGATCCAGGGCCTCAATGCAAACAAGAGCAGGAAGCAATCAAGCAGTGGTTTTGTTTGGTCTGTAATGATTCAAGTTTATACCCCTGAATCACAATAATAATAGATCATTTCCCTCATTCCCCTCCAATCCCCTTCTTGTCAAAATTCAATAGTGGCATGAGACCAGCAAATCATGCAGATTCATGAAGCTTGTGTCAATCAGCTTGTACCTGGTGTTCGCAAATAGACACGATGTCATTGTAGAGCACACTTGTTTCTTAAAATGAAGAGGCTGAATTATAATGCTTATGCTTTAAATAACCGTCTTGGTTTATTTTCAATGTCAGGAGAGTTGCACGGCAAAGGGTAGGCAACCACGATATATATACATATATATATGTATATGTCATTAGAGTCTGATATCTGGTCCTGGAGCTGGGGCATCTCTATCTCGTGGAACGCCGTGATGCTCAGGAGAGATTTCGGAGGTTCAGGCTTCCCCGCTGTAGGTGAAATTTGAGCAGTTCTCGACGCTACCTGTGTTGTCCTCCTGGGGAGAATCAGCCATCGCCGCGAGGAAGGTTCACAGTCACGGTATCTATGGCAGGTTTGTGGAAGATATAGTAGTAGCTCTGTGGAAAGGCTCGGAGGCTGGAGATAGGTGATGCAGAACTGGTATATGAGACTGGTAATTGGGTAGATAGAAAAACGAGAGTACAAAGAATAGAAAGAAGATACTTCAACACTCGCAAGTAGGCCGTAATGAACGAAGTTGGATCTATACTCACTTCCACTAGTCAGAGCCACACCATTTGCCAAGTTGCTGTGGGTTAAGGTTTCTCCGCAGATTTGGACGGGGAATTAACTAGGGCTAGTTATGATGATCGAAGGCTCACCACCCCTGGAGGAAGGGGATTGAAATGCGATTTTACGCTGTAAGGGCCGATATAGAGCTTACGGCACACCGAAAGGTTTCGGTGGCCGAAAATCTTTTAATACTATAATTAGCCATTTATAGTAGCAGCCATCAAGCACAGGATGAAAAGGGAGATAGTCAAAGGAAATAGCGGGGATTGAAACAGCCCGCTTTCTACTTATGAAAAAATCAAAATAAAAGAATAAAAGAATAAGAAAATAAAATAAATAAAATGAAAAATGAAAAATGGAAATGAAATGGAAATGAAATGGAAATAAAACGAAAAAAAAAAAAAAAAAAAAAAAAAAAAAAAAAAAAAAAAGACTAAAAAGGATAAACAGGAGGGGAATGTAAACCTCACGAAACGCTCTGTTTAAGCACATGATCCCCTCTATCGTCCCCTTACCCCTTCATTTTTATTTATTTATTTATTTCTCTGTCTCTCTCTCTATTATCCCGGCGTTGAAGGGTTATACATTGTAACATGTCACCGTGGATACCCTCAAATTTCTCCGAATTTCTCCGATAAAGGGGAATTGTTCAACCTTCAGCCTCCGTCCCACCTCCCACCTCCCACCATCACCATCACCATCACCATCACCATCACTTGAAAAACTTCTTCAGCATCTCCTTCTCCTTCCGCTGCTGGTCCGCAATCGCCTTCTTAACCCTTGCTCTCTCATTCGCAATTGCGACATCGCCCGGCGCCAACTTCGCCGCCTCCGCCAAATCCTTCAACGCCTCCTCGTCATCCTTCAACCCTACCAAGGCGACAGCTCGCCGGTAATACGCCTTGGCCTTTTCCGCATCCTTTGCATTGGCAGCCTTGGCGGTCTCCAGCGCAAAACCGGCCCATGATCGCCCGTCCTCAAAGCGCCGGAGCTTATTCGCTAGCAGCGCGGAGTTGGAGTGTAATGTGAATCGCAACTGGGTCATTTGCGCGGCGAGTTCGGGCGGGTCCGAGTCTGATGCCTCTGGGTATTCGTTCAGATATCGAAGGCCCTTCTGGTATTTATCTAGGCCTAGGTCAACGTTGCCTGCCTTGAAGGCTTTGTTGCCGTATTCTTTCAGGTCAGAGGCGATTTTGTAATATTCTTCGCCGGAAAATTCCTTCCCTGCATCCTCCGGGTAGTCCTCATACTTGTCACCGGTTTCGTCGACGGTTGACTGGGTGGCGGTGTCGTAGCTTTCGCCGGTCAGTTCGCCGCAGTCCACAACTTTCACTTCGGTGTGTGGCTTGTCGCCCGAGTCCGTGGGGGACATTTCAATCTTGCGCACCAGCCCTTTACCGTTGATGACTTCGCCAAAAACCACGTGCTTGCCATCTAAGTGTGGGGTGGAGACGGTGGTGATGAAGAACTGGCTCCCGTTCGTGCCCGGGCCGGAATTAGCCATAGAAAGCAGGAAGGGGCGGTCATGTTTGAGCTCGAAGTTTTCGTCGGAGAATTTCTCGCCGTAGATCGATTCTCCGCCGGTGCCATTGAATGCGGTAAAGTCACCACCTTGAATCATGAATTGTTTGATGATACGGTGGAAAATGGAACCTGAAGCACATACACATCAGAGGTATAGAATTATTTAGCTATATGCTAACCAATGCATTCCACACGCCTGCGTAACAAGCGTGTCTCGTTTCCTTAGAAATAATACGTACCCTTGTAGCTGAGCGGTTTCCCCGACTTCCCCTCACCCTTCTCGCCGGTACAGAGCGCACGGAAGTTTTCAGCGGTTTTGGGGACAACTGTACGCAGAAACATTAGCAATCGTATATCGAAAGCAGTGGTGGGTAATTATAATCATGGTGTACCATCATTAAACTAGCGATTTAGCGCAGTCAGCCTCCCATCCTCTTCCCTCAATGATGACTCGAAATTGAATTCCAAGAAACACTTACTAGCTCAAAGACAATGCGGCCCTCAGCTCTCTTTCCTATCTGGATATCAAAGTAGACGCGCGGGCGACCTGCAATTCGGGACCTTATCAGCGGCTGGCCAGAACTATAGGCAGCTGGACAGTAGCGGGGGGCAGGCAGCTGCGGGGGCGGGGAAAGTACCTGAAGTTTCGGCCATGGTGAAGGTGTAAAGCTGGAGCTGTAGAAAGGAGACTCACGGATAGCAGATAACAGTAGCGAGTGGGAATACAGAGATCAAGGTGAAGCCTGAAGTATGAAAAGGGAAATTGGAAGTTCGCGAATTGTCCGTCGTTGGGTTGAGTGTTGTTTGTTCGAAATGCGCGAGACTTGTAGAAGCTTCCATGCGCAGACAAACAGTGCAAACTCCCCACCAGCGAGAAAATAGCACTGTGCAATTATATCGAATCATGTTTAGATAGATCCTCTCTATATGGTATAATACGCGAGTGTAGATACATGTTACCCTGCAAAATAATCGTCTTCAGTCCTTTTATTCTAGCAACGACGTCGGAAGCTTGAGTTCGTAGTTCTGTCCCCCATCTGCGCCCTTCTTCCCCACCCCGTCTTGCTCAGATTGCCGCGTATTTGAATCACTCGACTGGCCGTTACCATTACCATTCCCATTCCCGTTCCCATTTCCGGGTTTCTTCTGTTCCTTCTTAGGCAACGTGGTATCAATCTGAATCGTAACCTACACCGGCAAAAGACACACCTCCAAGTCAGCCCTGTTACCACCAAAAAAAGAGCGGGATCAGCGGAACTAGGAGGGAAAAAAGTGTTATAGCTATACCGCGCCGTCTTTACTGCGGTAATCCACACCCACCGGTCCATCGTTGACGAGTCCCACTTCCATCATCGCCTGGAAGACGCCGTTCTTAACGCGCTCGACATTGTAGAGCTCCCGTACTTTGTTGTAGAAATGCTCATACAATTCCTTAGCCTTGGTCGCATCTGCGGCGTTGTGGAAGTCTGGTTTGTTGCCCTTTTTGATCTGGGCAAGGAGTGTGAACTGGGACACTGTAAGGAACAAACAAAAGAAGACGAAAATAAATTCATTATCAGTAAAGTGCTCATGTTGGCTCTCCTTGTCTTCTCGGAACTCAGTGTCCTCTGGTTTCCATACCGCATAGGACCTCTCCCTGTATATCTTGAACGCTCTTCTTCCACTATATGCAAGATGCGGTTAGAGCTTTGATCTATAAACCCGTCGAACGAGACTCCGGTATTAAATAAACATACCGTCCCGCCCGCCTCATCTGGCCATATCTTCAGCTTGAGAACCTTTGCCGCAAGGGACTCTGCATCTTTGTGGGTATCATCTGGGCCGACAGCGGCAAACACTAGGATTCCTCTGCCAATGGAGGAAACGAGCTTCTTATCGACAGTGACTGAGGCGGAGGTGACTCGTTGTAGAACAGCTAAAATAGCATCGTTATTAAGATTGAAATTTTAGCTATCGTAGGGAGCGCTGGCAATATACCTTTCATGATGGAATATTTTGATATCGAGGTTAAAAACGACGTTCAAAACGTTAATGGTTCACATGGATATAGGTATTGTTAGGGTGGCGGTGTCACGACGGGACGCTAGGGCGGAAACGCTCTCTGATGGACATTGAAGCTTCACAGGGCGGGCGGACATTAAACAAGATATATTGCCCAGATCCCCGTAGCCGTAATAAGCAGTAGAATAGAAATATAGAAATAATACCTAGCACCGCCCATCCCATCCTAAAGTTCCACGATCTGATCTGCTGCTAGCGCCATCCGAGCACAAGTCTTGGCACATCTTCCCAGCTTGGGCTTCATCCATCCATCCAGCAACTTCAGGCAAGGTCTCAAGGTCACCGTTGCGCAGGCTCTGAACACTCCATTCACCCGCCGTGGTACATCACTATACTCCCCCTTTTTCCCATATCTACGCCGTTCATACCACGCCCTCACTGCTTGCATCGGGGTAAAACTTCCTATCCACTTCTCATCGATCTCCGCCGTTCCGCCTCCGCCTTTCCCATTACTGACTGACCTGGTCCAAGGGCAGCTCCCGTCTATGAAGCAACCATGACGTCGCGAAAAACACAGCAGGAAATTGACAAAACCTTCAAGAAGGTAGCTGAGGGCATACAGTCATTTGAGGGAATATACGACAAGATTAAATCATCGTCAAACGCTGCACAAAGAGACAAGCTAGAAGACAACCTGAAACGTGAAATCAAGAAGCTTCAACGGTTCCGCGATCAGATTAAAACATGGGCTGCAGGAAACGAAGTCAAGGACAAAGGCCCTTTGCTAGAGCAGCGGAGGGCCATTGAAACCGTGCGCCTCCCTACCCTCCATCTCTGGCCATGATTCCACAATATGCTCCCATACTCCCCCGGTCGGATATTTTAAGGGCTAGCTAACTAGAGAACAACAGTGCATGGAACAATTCAAAGCTGTTGAAAAGGAGATGAAGACTAAGGCCTATTCAAAAGAAGGCCTATCAGCAGCAGCTCGATTAGACCCCAAGGAAAAGGAGAAAGCTGAAACATGCGACTTCCTCTCGTCAACCGTCGATACCCTTCAACAGAAGATTGAGGCCATGGAGGCCGAGGAGGAGATGATACAGGCCTCGTTAAAGAAGGGAAAGAAGGATACTGCAAAGACTACCCGGCTATCTGATATTACGAGGATCCTAGAGCGGCATCGGTGGCATGTGACCAAACTAGAACTACTCCTACGGTGTCTGCAAAATGGAAATGTTGAGACAAGCCAAGTGCTCGACATCAAGGATAGCATCAAATATTTTGCAGATGATGGCCATAATGCGGATTTCTGCGGAGAAGACGAGACGATATACGACGACATAACGCTAGGGGATGACGAGTTTGGCATACCCACTGATAATGACCGGGTCTCATCACAGGATACTCAGTCGATACAGGATGATGATGCGGAAACTGCGAGGTCGAAGACGAAAACAGATCCTGGGCCCGCGCGAAGGCCATCGACGCAGATGAAGTCTCCGCTCCCAGTTTTGGCTACTCTTCACAACGGACCCTCGTCTGTCGCTTCCAGTTCCATGAAGCCCGCTCCTCTACCGACACGATTACCAGGAGAAACACTGAAATACGCCTCTGCGGCTGCTGCGGCCGCGGCTAGTGACAAGAGTGGCGTTGGGATAGCTCCTCTACCACCCCCACCTGGAACAACATCTTCAACTGCCTCGCCGCAAGTACATCATGCACAACCTGTGCAAACGCTGGCATCTGCCGCTCCCAGTGTGGATGGTTCAGCTAGCCAACAACAAGCCAAATCTCCAACGTTAAGTCCTAGTATTCCCACGAGTAGGCCTTCAACGGTTCCGCCAACACCAGCAACGGATAATGTAGAGACCGTGCCTCAAGAAGAGCATATAGTGACAACAACAAATGGCGAGCCGAGGGAAGCTGCCGCTCCTGCTGCCGCTCCTACTCCCGCACCCGCGGCTAGTCCCACTCCGGCCCAAAATGACGAGTCCGTCTACCACCTACCGCCCGGCCTTCAAGACCTAATTCAATCCTTCGAAATCACCAAATCCAGAGTATCCGTCAACCCGTCGACATCGGTTCAACGACTCCTAACAGCGTCGCACCACACCTGCCCAGAGCCCGGCGATGCGGAGAAGCCACGCCACTACAAGCCGCAAACACCCTACAACACCCCTCTCTACTACCCGCAGGAAGCGCTTCCAATATTCGATGACCCACGATTATATGAGACGGGCCGCATCGATACAGATACGCTATTCTATATATTCTACTATCGGCAGGCGACTTATCAGCAGTATTTAGCGGCGAAGTCATTGAAGAATCAGAGCTGGCGGTTCCATAAGCAGTACCAAACGTGGTTTCAGCGGCATGAGGAGCCGAAAACAATTACTGAGGAGTTTGAGCAAGGAACGTATCGGTTCTTTGATTATGAGAGTACATGGTGCGTTTTTTCGTCTTTCCGCTTCACAAGCAACAACTGCCTTTAAAAGAACCATAGCTAACCAGTTTGTTCTTGGAAAATACAGGATGAACCGTCGAAAAGCTGACTTCAAGTTCGTCTACAAGTTCCTCGAAGACGACCTGTAAATGACAGAAAACCAAGAAGAAATAGGGAAACAAGGACGACATCCTTTGTTTTAGCGGAATATTTAGGTTTTATGCAAAGGCCCAGGCACCTAAATATTGTTGTACTCTTCTAAACCAGAACTTTGGCGTACATACAACACCCAGTTGAATGAACTTGACTCTGTTTCTCAACCTCCTTGCCCTTTCCGTCCCATCATCCGTTCATTCAACCACCCCTATACACGACATTCTCACAATACACACGCACACACCACATGCGCACACAGCACCCACGCTCCCTCTCTTCCCCCCCCCCCCCCCTCCCACCATCTTCATCTCTCTTTGTACTTTCAACCTCACCCCCTGCTTTTGCTTCTACGTCTTCTGCTTTTCGTTTGGGTTCTCTGTTTTCTCTTTCTCAGCAAACGGCCTTGTGGTTGTGGGTGGTGTTTGGAAAGGGCACGAATGTGTTTTTCTTTTTCACTACTAACCTTACTTACTGCTGGAAAGCAATTGCTATGCAGGTTGGGTTAGGCTTAGGCTAGGCTAGGCTAGGTTTTTTTTAGGCTGTGCCGGGCGGCCAGGCTGGGGTTCCGCGTTTTTGCTCCACTTGTTGCTATTTCTGTTCTGCCTTTTTCTTTTTCTCCCCCGTTTCGTATCTCGGTTATGTGACTGGGTAGGTTAATTTTTTTAAGTACATTAATCGATCGTGGGATGTGGGATCTTCTATTCTACTTTTTTTTCTTTGCTTGCGGATGGATGGATTGGATTATCCGGTCTCCCAGGTGGTGTGTGCATTATGAAGCTAGCGAGAAATGAGAGAGGAGAAGAGAGAGGAGAAAAGAGAATACAATTGTTCACCCCTTCTCCCAAGTGGTGTTTATGCATGTTACGGCTGCTTATACCGTGGGATCAGCTACGCTGCTGATACACGAACACACACTTGTCTTCTCCTCTTTACGAGGTTAGGTATAATAATAAGTATGTATATCTCTATATTACACATACTACTATCCGCCTGCACAATACTATGTGCAAGAAGCAAGGTCGAGTCCGTCACCCACTAACCTCCGATTCTATTTTACCAAATGGGTAAGGCGAGAGGGTTTTCCTCATCCGTCTTCGCGAGTTCTAATTATGTCGGCGGACATTAACAGAGATTGCGTTTCCCCCGCCTGGAGGGTTGGCTGGTTATACCTACTCATGGGATCAAAACAGTTATTCTAATCCTATACCTATCAGTCCAACAAACCCATTCAGCTCGCTTCCTCATTCATTTATTTATTTCCCGTTGTACGAAACTATACTGCACACACCTTAACCATGCTCAATCAGCCTCCTCCGTCCAGCCCAATGTATTTGCTGTGTTGTACATACATTGGCAAATACATCTGCATGAGCATTGTAATGTATGTGCAGTATATCCTGAACATATAATAATAGCATTTATACACGTGTAGAACCGGGTGGGTGCATACATAATAGAATGCCTCTGGTGGATGTAACGTGTGTTCAAGGGTATAAATATACGTAAAGCACATGTTGCATGCATCCCTGGGGATGTAAATATCAGCGTACAGAGCTGACCTTAACAGCTGAGAATTCGGGGCACGCTTTGCTATGCGGGATGGATTCAGGGATTCTTTTACTTCAAACGCTTCTCTTGAGAAATGGATTACATACATATAGTAATGCCAGGATAGTACATATATCGGTGTAACGAATTCAGATTCAGATTCATATATCTGCATAATTCTTCGTAATTACAAATCAAGATTCAGTAGGTAGATTGCTCCTTTTCACAGGAAAATAAGATGGAACTGGAAGGTTGTGTGAACAAAAGAGAAAACGAGGCATGCAGGCAGGGCTACGCTTCATTATATATATACGTTGTACATACATTTTGTATTTCTATATTTGTAATGAATGCCCCGCTTCACTTTATTTTTGTGCTGATTGTAGCAGAGTGGGATAAAAAATAAGGCTACGGGAAGGTTGTGGGTAACTATCACTTATAACTTTCGGGGTTAACTTAACCTCAGGAGCGCAGAAGATGGATTTCAGCCTGCGTTTGCCATCTTTTAGAATATCATGTTTTTGAGCTTTTGGGGTGAGGGCTCGATCGATGGGTGGCTCTTTGCGCCGTTGGGTTTTATTTTTTGGTTTTATTTTTATTTATTTTTTTATTTATTTTGGTATTTTTCTTCTCGTTTCGATGCGTTGCTTTCGTTTCTGCTGTAACTATCTCATTGCATAATAGACTTCTAACGCAATGCAAGTTCAATGAATTGATTATACAGAGGGGAGGAAGCGAGCTGGCAGAAGAACCTGAAGTTAACCACGTTGACAGCAGAACAGGAACAACGAGGCAAGGCAGATTTCAAAAGTGGTCGGTAGGGCAGGCAGTTCTAGACGTCTGCGTAACGATAAAAGATATATATCAACTATTTCACATGTTTGCGAAGAACGGGGGCAATTGCTAGTCTTTCTGTTGATCATATTTAGGATAGGTATATATAGTATGTATTATGCCATGTCGTTTCCCTTTGCTTTCGGACTTTCGTGGGACGAGTTCATTAGTAGCTTCATTGTTCTGGTCTCGCTTAAGTGTTTATTATTATTATTATTATTATTTTAACTCGCACGATAGACAGGCATTTGTACAGCAAATTTGCATGTCCAGCACCGGCTCGCTACGCTGCCCTCAAGGCTGTTTCTCTTTGATACCCAATAAGATAATTTTTGGTTCAAAATGAACTACACATAACAGTCCACATAAGAGAAGAACATCTGGAAGGTCCCAGCCGGAAGGGTCCGCGGTTAGCGTACATAATGCGATTTGGTCTTTGAAACCTTCCCAAGGAAAAAGGTATTAGGAAGTCTGAAGCGCAATATGCAGGACATCTGTAAGGTACGAACATTCTCCCAGGCTGGAATCAAATAACTTCGACATAGCCTCCCCTCAACACCCAGTCGGAGGAGGACACCCTAGTTGATTTAGCCCCCCGGCAAGTACCCTGAAGAAGAACGGGAGTTGATGGTTAAATCGAGGAAATTCCCCTTCTTTTTTTCCTTTACATGCTCCTATCAGCGGATTAATGGATATACAGCATGCATTCAAAAACTCATAGAGGGCCTGCGTGTTTCAAGAAATCGCAGCATACGTAGTAAGTTGGTGCATGTTTGCATTTGGAGGGCTGTCTCATCGGGAGAAATTTGCATGCATAACTCAGTCACGTACCGACAAAGTGTGGCACATACATAACTACGTAGTTATGTACGTACGTATGTATGGATGGATGGATGGGCGTCCAGCACAGGATAGTGGAACTAGTTTGAATAGTGATAGCTAGCAGCTTATCCACGTCGGCATGCGGTTGAAACTTGAGCCTGGGGCTCGAACATCTCGAGGCTGGCATGGTGGGATTAGTGGGTGAAGAGTTCATCTACCGCCTCACTTTTCTGTCAGTTGGGAGTGTCTGCGATGTATTTGGCATAGTCGGCCGACACAAGAAACGGGCAGCAGTGCCATGCTAGTTGTTTGCTTCCTCCTGGGGGAGGTGTTGTGGGTGCTGTGTGTAAGGAGTAGTTGTAGCAGGAGTAGTCAGATAGTTGTTCGCTGGTTGTTTGTTTGGTGACGTCGATGTGAGGCTGGGATGGAACACCGCTGCTGCTGAGGGCGCTAAGCCCAAACAGGGGTGGCTGACTAAGCTGCGGCTGCCCAACGCTCTTCTTCTCTCTTCCGCAGACCCAACCACGTCCAACCACAACATCCAACCTAAACCTCCATCCGACCAATGCTGCGTCAAGCCTGGCGGTTTCTCCCCCGTCCAGCGCATCCAACCACTCCCGCGGCGCCACGACTGATTGGTGCCACACTTCAGGCTATTAGTCTTTCTATCCCCGCCGGTGTTGTCACAGCGCGCTGAGGGCTACCCAGCTTGGGGCTGGTGAAGGAAGAGTCTCCCCCACCTTCTTCAGGAACAAGCCACGCTCATCCCTCTCAGTTCTCTCTAACCCACAGCAGTAAAATGATGTTTCATTCTGCTCCAAATTACATGAAACAATCCGCGAAGATGGGTCCTGACCCCTTGCATCGTCCATGTCGTCATTCTAGCTTCCTTATTTTCTCCGGAAGGGCAGCCAATTGGCCAAGTTGGTCCACCCAACTGTCAATAGGCATAGCAAAGCTTAGGAACTCAAAACAACCCGTCGTGGACAGAACAGCCTAATCACCAGGGCGAATATTGGTGTAAAAAGGCTTCTAAGCACCTAACTAGGTTCCCTTTGGCACTAGTTCAACCACTTTTCGGCCCGTTCCGAGAGCCTGGTCGCTTTTCTCCAAAACTCGTATCTCCCTTTTTGTCACTCTTCAGAAAGGAAGAAAAAAAATGAGGCGAGTTGACAGGGTTGCCCCTCAGATGTTGGACAAAAATAGCAAACAGACCATGAACACTGTCTTGCTGCCTTCCTTCTGCCATTTTCCCTACCTGGAATGGTGTGCTATGCTTAGTTGCTATTACTATTATTATTACTATTAGCATTATTATTATTATTATTATTATTATTATTATTATTTCGTCGATAATAATGCTGCGCAGTACAAGCTGCGGAATTGCATGTTCTGGCACCCACTTTGGCGACCCAACTAGGCCTTTGTCAGGTAAGAGTAATATCTCCGACTCGATCTTGACCGCTTGGGCTGGTGGCCTTCCGTCATTGGGTATTTCGCATAGTTTACTCTGTCTTTTTTTTGCTTTTTCTCTTTCTCTTCCTTTTTCTTTTTTTCAAATTACAATTCTGCTCTCCAAGTCGATGATGAATGGAATGTCCAATCGAAGGGGTCCGTGTTTCGAAAATCCTCCACGTGGAGGTTGTTTTCAAGCACCGAGTCCAAGTGGCAGTTTTACTCGTCCTGCGTCATCGTTTATTGATAGTATCTTCTAAGACCTGTCTCCCTCGAGAACTTTTCGGTGTGCACGGTTCAGATTGCTCGCATCACTTTTACACTCATACCACATTCAAAAAGTTAGCCTCCCCCCCCCCACGCATTCTACCTGGCGATTGGTGGCTCGGTTCCTACCTCTGATCATCAGGGTCCTGGCCTGTGTCCCAATGTCACGTGTTGGACCATACGAGGCATGGCCATATTTAAGCCCTACTTGGAGAAACCGAGATGGATGCTCTCGAGCAGACATACTTGCAGCATTGGAAAAGGGTATATATATGTCCTCCCGGGGTTGTCATTTCTTCCCGTGTGTTCAAGTCAGTTTCAACAACAACTTAAACCTATATCATATATATACTCATATTCGCCATCTTTGCTTTGCAACCTCCTCCTCCCTTACCCTCATAACCTCTCACGAAGCAAACCAATCACTCCCCTATCCGTACACACGGTCTTTCTTTTGTTTAGAATCTGGCATTCTTCTCAAAAGCTACAACCGCTACCATGGCTCATAGTCGCAAACACCAACAGCCCCAATACACTTCCGTGAGTCGCGAATTGCCTATCACAGGCTATCCAAACCCATATCTGACCGAATCCGTGACCGCCCAGTATCATACGCCTCGCTCACAATACCCATTGCCGACCTCTGTCGCACCGGCCATGAGCTACTCCTCGTCAACGGACAGCAACAGTTCCACGAGGACGGCATCAAGCATGATCTCAACGAGTAGCGGACATCAGCAACAAACGGCATATTACAGCTCTCATTATCCCACAACGTCGGCTGGTTTCACAGACCCAATCTATCAACAACAACAACAACAACAACAACAACAACAACGGCAGGCATCCGCTAGCTACACGACTAGCCCGGAGTATGTACTGGTCACAGAGGAGGCTGCAACGACACCGTCAAGGCCAGCAAGGGCTGCGGGTCTAGAAAGGTATGCTTGACAACTCTATCATACAAAATATCACAATAGATTATGTATAATATATATATATATATCAAAAGACAAATCCCCGCACCTATCGCCCCTACAAAATAAAAACCTACCCCCAAAAACTAAAAACATGCCTCCCTCACACCACAGATCCGGCAGCAGATACGTCTGCATGTTCCCGCGCTGCGAAAGCAGTTTCAGTCGCTCCGCAGATCTCAGCCGCCACTACCCCACCGTCCACTTCCCGGACTCTGTCAGACTCGACTGCCCCAAGCCCAGATGCTCGCGAAAGGGTGAGCAGGGCTTCACGCGCCAGGACCATCTCAACGAGCATCTGCGCCAGTACCACAAGGAGCCCGTCACTAAGCGGAGATCTTCGAAATCTTCCTCGCAGCGCCCGGAGACATATCGCTAGATGATCTAGTTCCCGCGTGTTTCTGTTTTCCCATACTCGATCGATGGGACGGCGGATATATCACCCTGCCGTGACCCTCCTAATATGCCCTAATAATTTTCCCGGCATATTTTTCTCTCACATGTCGTTTTCCGATATTATAATATTTTCTTTTCCTGTCACTTGCTGGTCTGGAGCTGGTTCTCGAAAGCCTACAAATGCGGGGAAAGAAAGCCAGACGGTGAATGAATGATACGCTACTCGCTCATTTTTTGTCTGGGCGATTATGCTTAACGGTCCCACCGCCGACTGCGCTTCTTTTGAATTTCCTTTGTCTTCTTCTCTTCTATCGTTTATATTCTGCCTTGTCAGTTATTATTGCTATACTTAATATTTTCTTTTTCCTGTTGTTCTCTCTTGGATTGTTTCCTCTTGCCTTTATCTGCATTCTGTTTATTCTTCCTTTTGAAATTTTTACATATTTTCCCAAATGCTTTACACAGCGAGCATCAGATTGGAAATGGAACGGTGTTATCTATCTCTATTTCATGAGCGGAGGGTTCTATTGGATTTTCACACAGGATTTTTTTTTCCTTTCTCACTGTATGATATATTCTTGATATATTCTATTTTTGCCTCAATTTATTTTCCATTCTTGTTGTTGTCTCTTTGCTGCCTTTGAAGCGTCTGCGTTTTCCTGTAACTATATGTTTACTACTTCAAGTATCACTACATATCTCTATTCTCTGAGTTTTACTTTTATTACTTTCTGCTGCTATGTCTGTTACTGTATTTATGTATAATTTTGTAATGCAGAATTCTCAAAGCATTCTATTGTAGTTATGTGTCTCTCTTACTCTATCTAATTCTTGAAGTTGATTTTAGGTAGATCAGATCATAGTTAAGGTTTTATTCCTGTTTGCAGGATGTCTTTTCTAGGGTTATCTTCTGTTCTAATGATTTATCACGTGCTAAACTTTTCTTCGTGCTTGCATTTCCCCATTTCCCGTAAGTTACATAACTAAATCTACATCTGGGGTGGTTAATTACAGGATTTGAAACGTGAATCCATACTAGATTATACTGATAAATATGAATATAATATAATAGCAAATGAGTAGCTTAACACCAATCCAATTTGCTCAAAAACGGGGTTGAAAATGCTCTCTCTCCTCCTTATCTCAATCGTCATATGACAAAACGGGGGATGAAGAGAGGATCTTGCCCACAACTGTAAATCGATATTCACAAATCCCTTCTTCTCTACCCTTTCTATCTTCATTACACGAACTAAACCTAAGAACCCCCCCCCCTTCCTCCTCCTCCTCTTCCAAAAAAACTCACTCACTTAACCTCCCAAAACCCTTCAAAACACTCCCCCCGCACCCTCCCTTTCTCATCAAAAACCACCCCCTCCCCCGTCAATAGGCCCGTCTTCTCCGTCGCATAATCGCCCCTATTGCCCCACTTCCCCTTGTAGCCGCCCACAGTGCGATCCGAGGCCAGCACGCGGTGGCACGGCACGGCGGGGGCAAAGGGGTTGGTGCGCATGGCGTTGCCGATGGCGCGCGGGGAGGAGGAGAGGTGGGCTGCTAGCGCGGCGTAGGTGGTCCAGCGGCCGCGGGGGACGGAGAGGAGGGTGCGGTAGACTTTGCGTTGGTGTGGGGTTAGGGAGGGGTGGGTGGAGAGGGTTTTGAGAGTTTGCGGGAGGGTGGGGTCTGAAGGGAGGGGGGAGGGGGTTGCGTTTGTGTTTGAGGGGGCTGTTTTTGATTTGGTGGTGAGTTTGGTTTGAGTGGGTGTGGACTTCTTTTGGGTCGTTGTCCATTTGATCGAGTTGGTTGCGCGGGATGAGCGCTTTCTGCTTGACATGGCGGAGGCGGTGAGGGTGGTGGAGCTCCGGGAGCGCATGGTTGCCCCTTTTGTTGTTCTTCGAACGGAAATTGTTCTGTCGTTTTAATATGTGCAGGTAGAACAAATTTTCTCCGGTGGGTATGTATATATTTAACCCTATATATACGCTAGGCGTGATCGTGATATAAGATCGCGCGAGCTCAGCCTCCTATAGATCGAGGAGGGTGTATCATCGTTATGCCAATGCCGATACTTTATGTAGCCAAGTCAGTCCTGACGAAATATATATTAGTCTCAACACCATAATCCAGCACAAGATGCCCTTCCATACCTGGTGTTCTTCACAGAATATTTCCCTCCGCCACACTCTCAGAATCATCACTGTGTTTCTTTCTCCTCCTCCGCTTTCTCGTGCGGGCGACGCGATCTATATAACCGACGCTTTGGCTGACATCAACCCGCGGATACGAGGTCGCGTCATCACGTGGTAGTTATAGTACTTGCAGCCAATCACATGCAGTTGTTAAATTGATTTTTTGCACCGAATATAGCCAATCAGAGGACTGGCGGAGAAATATATTCCCGGTCCGGTTGACAAGCAACACCGACTGATCTTACCGACGACGTCACAACAACCGCGTCTGTATACTACGGACATGGAGGAACTGCTGTTTGCTCTCGGGTTATGTTAACTATGCTATGAGCTATGGTAGTAACTGCAATGGAAACAACCTTGGTCACTATGTGACATCTCGTCTAGGGCTCCAGCTCCTCCATGGATGAGGCCTCCTCCTACGAAAGATAGAGCTCCAAGGCATCAGGAGACGGACGGCGCACAATGTTTGACAAAGTGCTCTGTGTGTTAATTTCCCACTCTTATGCTGCCATTGGAACTGCCAGTGAGGAGCGCTTGTGCGTAGCATGAAGTTGCGCCTGGAAGGGCTGGAAATGATGTCCAGCGCCGATTACCCCCTGAATCGATTACCAGAAGGCGCATGCCACCTCATAGAGAGTCGAGCTTGGATATCCTGCTCTCTACATGCTCATATATCTCTTCTAGGGCAATTCTTTGAATGTCAGACTTTTTACCTGATGCCGCGCTCGCCTCCTGGTCTGTGGTTTTGGCCACCTACAGGCTTAGTTTTCTCCTTGGTTGCTGGTGTTTTGCCTGCACATATGCTGAAGTCAGTTTGCCTTGCATCTTATGTCCTACCCGCTGTACTGAACATGACCAACCCATCGAGGTATTGTGTGGCAGATCTTCTAGTCCACAGCGTACGCATTGTGCATTCTCCACACGCGGGGAATGTTTCTTCTCCTGTATTTGCCCAGTCTAATATTTGATTTGTGTTTCTGGGCCATCATTCTCCCGATACTGCACTGAACATGGGGAGTTTTGAGCCAACAGTAACTTTACAGATGCTACCATTAATTTCAATGCATCAGATTGACAGTTTGGTCACTTTATCTAGTCAAGGAGCTACGCAGGCTGCGAATTGGTCACAGCCACATATTAAGCAATAATTCTTCGTAGTGGATCGTTTCTCTACTTTCTACCCCAACCCAACCACGAAGAGTCCCCAGAAAACCAAGAGTAAAAAGGGGCCCCCCCCGCACATAGCACCTATCACGACCTAACTTACCTCCCTCACCCCAACGCCACCAATCATCCCATTCGACTCCACACTCCCCTCCTCCCTCAACTTCTCCGCCGCTTCCACCCCAGCCACGGGAACCTTGTATTCAAGCACCTTACCTTTCCCGGGCGCCGCCCGGTCATCCGCCAACGGATACGGGAATGGTAGGTACTCCGGCAGCAGGCCTAGTTGGCGCAGAAGCCCGGCTTGGTCCCACCAGATGTGCTCGTGGTAGAGGCGGTCGCCGCGCACGTTGACGATGGAGACCATGGGGAGGCGGACGGGTTTGTGTGTTGGGGGGATGGCGGGGATGCTTGTGGTGTTTTTAGTGAGGAATACAAAAATAGAGAGAAAATGGGGAGAAGGGAGGGAACCCG